AATTCAGGCTTCACAACCCAGGCTGAGCCCACACCCAGAGCCAAGCCAAACCCCAGCGAACAGCGGGGTGAGCACAAACCGTGTGCTAAAAGATAAAGCAGCTATCACCACTAGGAAGGAAGGACACGAGATGGAAGCACAAGAAAATATTTCAACATTTGTCTGGCCAAGGAGACATGAGTTCCTGCTATTAGAAGAAATTAGTTGGAGACGGGGCGCTCTCTCTAAATGTCACGTACATCTAGGACGCGCTGCACTCCCTGCTGTTGGCAGCTTCCCCTTTGCCTCTCTCCCACTGCATCCACAACCTGAACTAAGATGCTTCCCATCATTATGGTTGTCCAGACCGATCCACACCTTCCTAAAGGAAACGGCCTCGTTTGCACCAAAACAAGAGGCGATGCAGGGACAGCTCGACTTCCCCATCATCCTGCACACCAGCTCGGTTTCAGCAACCCAAGCCTCTATGTCCTCCCGCAATGTTTTCCCACTTTCTCCCTCGGCTACACGAAAAGCAGAGAAATCTGACTGCTGGGTGCCCCAGACACCCCTGGCTAATGGAAGAATTGTTGCTGAATGACTAATCTGCGGCAAATAGCGAGTTTAGGTTTAGTGCTTTTGGAGCACTCCCAGCCTCACAGCACGGTGGGTCTCAGTGGACTGAACCCGGCAAGCGCGAGCCAGAAGTAGCAAATCACCAAAAAAGGAAGAGCGCGCAAGGCTTGTTCCTCAAGGCTGACATTTAGCAGCGGGGCACAGGTTTTGCTCAGCCCAACGCTCAGGAAGTTCCATTTTTTTTTGGCAACGTATGTGCTACAAGATATATTTTAGCTTCCTGATGAGTCCCTCACTGGCAGCAGCAGCGTGGAGGAGAAGGACCATGTGTGACAGCCACGAAACAACTGGACCCAGCAGGATGTGGTAACGCAGAAGGAATTCCTTTTTGGAACTGGCTGTTTGGCTTTGATTACTCAAAAGTATCTCCAATTATTGAAAACAGGTTTCAGACCTCTGGCACAGCACTCCTACAGTAGGGTCACGAGCGTCTTATTCTTGGAGCCATATGGATCAGATCTTAACATCTCAAAGCTATTCCTTCAGCAACCCTACAGCAAGGTAAATGCTCTCCCCATTTTGCAGACAGAGGAGAAACAAGTTGAACTTGCCCGAGATTATGGCAAAGCAATAAAAGATCAGGGAGTGGGGAAGATGACAACACAAATCTCTTGGCAACAACATCTCCCAGCTAACGCAATACTAAGACATCGGTCCAAAACCTGCCCTCGCCTGGCTTCTCATCTCACGCCGCTCCCTACAAGCATTGGCTTATCAGGCACCTTCCTGGAAGCGCAATCTCAGTGGGGATTACTACAAAGATTTAGATTAGAGCTGCCGCGCAAGTGAAGCGCATTGCAGTTGTGCAATGCATCGCAAGGTGAAGGTGCCAACGGTGCCAGGCGTGGGTGGAAGACACGGGCAAGGCCAGAGCAGCTCCAGACTCCTGCAGCGTGGGCTGCCAAGATGGAAACATCAGGTCACTGGGAATGACAGCACTGAGGAGATGCAGAGGTAGATGAAGGCCCGGTCCCAGTGGACCCCAGGAGGCTGAAGCAGATGCTCAGCAGGGTTGGCCGACAGACTGAATCCCTTTCAAGTACGTCCCAACTACGCGTTTATTCCTGGGTCAGCATCTGGTTTCCTTTTGCCTTCCCAGATGACGGCTGGAGAGTCACAGACTCCAAAATGCTGGGTAGTTGAAAACGTCTTGATAGCACACGTGTGCTCAGCTACAGCGAGCGGGCTTGTGCTGCCGATCTCCAATGGCTGCTCGTGAACAAGTCCTGCAATAGACACCGGCTGACTACCCATCACCAAAGCACCCGCTACCACAGGTGACACCGAGGGACGGAGGGGGTTTTTGCTTTTCCACAACACCCACTGGAGAGCGGATGACGAACTCCTTGCCCGGGGCCTTTGCTCCAAAGGGTCATAGAATCATTTAGTTTGGAAAAGACCTTTAAGATCATCAAGTCCAACTGTAAACCTACCACTGCCAAGTCCACCACTAAATCACATCTGATGGTTCTGTCTTGCTCCCCAGACACCGATTCCTGAAATGCCGTGAACCTCGGGGCAAAGCAAGTCATTCCTGCAACAAGGATCCAGCCATCCTCTTCAGCGGAGGAGTGCCAGGAGCCAGCTGGGCGATACGGGCCTCGAGCAGGCGTTGGAAAGCACAGCAGGTTTGACAGAACTCTGCGAGTCGGTTCCTTCTCCAAACAGGCATCTTTTTGCTAGTGTCCTGTGAGCGCCTCGGGTATGAGCACAAGTGAACCCTCCCCATACAGAACAAGCAACGGCAGCCGAGTTCTCTTGCCAGATGTCTTCTGCAGTTTGAGATGAAGTGGGGCACAAGAGGTCCAAGGAGCACTGTATCTTGGTCCCTTTTCAGAAAAGGATCCCATAAAAGCAGAGTGATTAAAAGCTTCTGCTTGTATTTCCTCATCTCTCTCATCGGGGATATAAATGATGGGGGGGGAGATGTAATTAAGGCGGCTGCCCCTCCAGCAATTGCTCAGGCACAGCCTACCAATTTAAAACCTTCAAAGACCTGAGCACTCTGCCATTTGCTGGGAAGGATGCTAAGGCAGCTCTGCAACTTCCAGTTACCCAAGGATCTGGAAGCAGCTAGAGCTGCCCAACTCCCAGCTGCAAGACATCTGGGTTACATTGTCTTCCTGGATTCCAGGACATAACTGTGTACAGCTTCTACTAGAAGCTACTGGATGTTTCTCAGCTATCACCCTCTGAGCATTTTTGCCCTTTTGCAGGTTTTCATCTTGCTGTTAATAACTCAGCAGGGCGCACTGCTGTCAAGTCCTCTCCCACATGCAAAGCAGAAAACAAAACGTCCCTCATTTCCAGGGCTATCAATCCCTTCCCTTTCCAGTGAATAAGAAGGCAAAGTTAGATCAACAGTTTCTGCGCACAGAGGCTGCCTATGGAAGACACACTTACAAATCAACAAAAGAACTGCACTTTGTCCTACATCTCTACTAAGATTGCCGGGGATGAGGTACAGAGAAAAGGGCCTAACTGAACTCTGTAGAGGGTAGGAGCTGTTACGGCACCTCTCCCCCACCACTCTCTTGAACACGGCCAGCATGGCGCTCACAACCGTTCCTCCTGGATCCAGGTAGCAGGAGAGAGCACACGAGGGCAGAAGCATCTTGCCTACTTGAAAAACAGAGGCAGGAGTTAAACAGCTAATGCGTTCAGCCCAGCTTTTTGTGACCGCGGGATGCTCCATCAGGTGGCTGGTAAGGCAGGGCTCAAGTCTAAGGTGAATGTCTGATTGCTGGAGGTGGGAGACTCATTAGGGAGCACTAGCGACCTAGAAGGGATTTAAGGACAGTGAGTGCCTCTGACGCAGAGCAGTCAATGCTGCCCCTCAGAGCACCGGGGCTAGCAGGCAGATGTTTCCCAAAGCCTAAATGTGTTTTTCTTCTAGTCATTTTGCTGTTGCAATTCCCCTTCTTTTACTGTAGTTTCCTTTATTGGTGCTTGGTCCAGTCTGAACTACAGACCAGCGTGATTTCTACTTAATAAATCATCCTTCTCCTCACTTTGTGCACTTGAATAAATAAGTTTTTACAAGTTTACTGTGCATTGTACAATCTAAAAATAAATGAAATAAAGTATATGAAATTTATAATTTTTCATCACATCTCTATAAAATACAGCCGCTGCTCCGAGCGGCACTTTCTGTACACAGAACACCAAGTCACAATACAATTAACTGCACCAGTTTGATAGTGTGGCAGCACGGTAAGCTAGATTGTGGTGTTTTTGTGAACTACCATTTAGACCTACTTAAAGCAAAGAAATACAAAAGCAAAATGCACTTCGTCAATAAATGTACACAGCTAAGCCATTTCCGAATCAAGTATCAAAACCCTACTAACAGAATACATTGTACTTGGAACAAAAACAACAAGCTGAGAAAATCTGCTACCTGCACCAGTACAAAAGCACTACGTTCAGTCTTCCCAACGATGGTAAAAAGGGCCTGACCAATACCAGTGATTATGCACCCTGTTCATATGCCAATGACATCCCAAAACAAGTTACCAGACTAGCTACCAAAATTCACAGTGACTTGAGTGCCACCAGCAACTGCAAATGGCCCAGTGAAGTAGTTCGAATGGGGCAGGGCTTGAATTTCTTCTGCTCAAACTGTGCCTGCGTTGGCTGAGCTTGCCTGGGCCACCCCAGGTACTCTAGCTGCCACTCCAGAGGGGAGTACTGAGTTCTTGTTTGTAACGAACACAACTAAAAACCACCCAGTTAACACAGCGCCTGGCTCGGTTCAAATTAAAAGAAAGCATTAGATAAAAGACTGCCTTTCTCTGTAGCTCACACTGCCGCAAACCAAGTGGAATTTGGTATATGAACAGAGTAAGTTGAATAAATAAACTGCAGACCCTTCTGAGAACTGGGTTTGGCATTGGTCAACCCTCCAAATTCAGCACCAAGGATTCAAACTAGAGGCACAGTTCTGACGGATGAAATAGCACCGAGAGGAGGCTCTTTATATCTCTGCTGGTGTGCCAGTCCTTTATTATTCAGAGAATTTAATAATAAGTTGTATTTGTGATTCTAGGTGGAATAAAATAAGTCAAAATTGTTTTCACTTTAAAAAAAGATAAATACTTTATCTAAACTATCAACAATACAAACTGGAGCTTTAAGCATTTCTTTTGCCTTTTTTTTTTTTTTCTCCTTTTTTCTTTTTTACTCAGATTCACAGTAAATATTTTCTCTGTTGTTTAGGTCTTTTTATGTTTTTATTTTGTCCAGTAGTAAGAGAGTAGAAACCCCTGCACAGGCCAGGTGAGCACCTTTCAGTGGAAGCCGAGTGAAGTTGGTCCACGTTGTCCTTGCATAGGTCACATTGGGTTGAGGTAGAAATCCTAGTTACCTGCACAACAGGAGGAGAGGAAGAGACTCATCTAAATAAAAGACAAAAATCTACTGTGTGTTAGATGCGTCAATCATTTCTACATTGCTCCAAGACCTCGTTAGCCAGCAAAGGAGGAGCAACTCTTGACCCAACCGCAATTAGACAGAAAGGATGCCTCCAAGAGCGACACGCGGCCCCTCCTGGCTATTGCAGTTTTTAAAACTTTCTGGCAGTGTAACCATCTTGAAGTCTGTCCTCCTGTGACCAACCTCGAAGGGGGGGGGAAGTGTTGCCCCACTTCACCTTTTTCTAGCACACACTAATCTGCTTTGAATTTTTTATTACCCTGGGGGAGAAACATTATGAGAAGCAAAGCAGTTTATTTTAGCCCCCGATTCCAGATTTCACCCTTGGTTCATCAAGGACTCTTGAGCACACGTATTCACACCGAAGTCAATGAAATGGCTCAAATATTTGACCTATGTTCAAGAGTCACACGGAGCGGGACCACAACTACGGTACGTCTGTCATACACCATCTCCTGGTAGCATTATTTCTGCTCCTTTGCTCCACAATCCAGCTTTGTCATCCAGCTACTTTTCTCCATACGTCACTTTTGTGCCTTGCCTATTTTACTCAGAACCTTTTTGCGACAGGGACCGTCACATCCGATGGTATGGAGTCTGGCTCAATATGACCTCAGTTCCAGATAAGGCAACTGCTTCAGCAGAAGGCTTTCACACTGTTCTCGCTTGAGTCGCTCACGTATACAAAACCCCAAGCCTAACCCTCCTTGCCCCTTTTCCCCCATCTTGTTTCTATTCAGGGTCTTTCAAGCCCATTCTGTAACCACATCACACTGTTGGTCTCTGCTGGCACGCAGGGACCACATTACTCAAAACTCTTCCTCAGCCTCACTTTCTTGTATAGAAGGACGGAGGTAATACTTACGTGCCTCACAAAAGCCTAATGAGGATTTGTTCGTGTCTGTGGAGCAATTTGATGATGAAGACACTATACACAATGCACAATCAAAAGAATCTCTCAGGTATATTGTAATTGAGTCATATGTTTTATAAGCGGCAAAGAGTATTCAACCATATATTGTATGTAGCTTTGGTATCAGTGAACAGCAACAACATCAAAGACCTACAAGAAAAGCACGGAGCAAGCTCTGGGGCCTAACATACTGATTTAAGTTTGCAAGCACAAGTTGTTACATCAGGATGCCACAGAGTATTTTCATGAACAACAGTACCCAACTCTGTGGTGGTACACTTTATTCTGGAGTTGCTCTAAAGACATTTAAATACCTGCTTCAGTAAAAATGCATACAGTCTCCGGAAACCCTCCTCTCTTCTATGGCCCCAGCCTTTATGAAGCATGGACGACAGTTAACCCTGCAGATTCCCTATGTTCTCATTCACAGTCTACTCAGTAAGCCAGTGATTGCTAAGTGAGCATAAATACAGCATCTGATGGAGTCTGTTACTGTTAGCCCTAGCAGGCAAGTCCAATAAAGCTGCAGTGCACAGATAAATTACAACCCTTCTTTGATACCTGTGGTTGTGTTTTCCATTGATGCAGGGGGCACATTAACTGCAATGCAAGACCAGTGCATTTGCTCTCCAAGACAAAGCTGCAGCTTGTAACCTGGAGATTTTTGACTTTATGATTATTTAGAGCAGCTGTTGTTGACTGACAGTAAAATCAAGACCACCGCATTGCCACATACAGTCACAAAGCAGCACCATCACGCATCCTAACGCTATGCAAACATGGACTTGTGGAGGTGCAACAGTCTGTGTCGGAGGGCAAGAAGAGGGGAGGGGGGAATCAAAGTAGGAAACAACCACTTCCAATAGCTGTATAAAACCATACTTAAAAAATAGACATTTCCTCCTGATTACTGATCTTCAGAAATAAACGTTTTCATGAAGTGATCTCAACCTGAACATAATCCTAATGTCAGATGAGACAGACCAGAGTTACTATTGTGAGCACTCCTTGTCGAGAAATCCTGACTCCCAGAACAGAGAGCATTAAGACTCCATCCTCTGCCATCAGATTATTTGCTTCCCACATTTTAGAGGTTTCTCTGTTTCACAGAGCCCATCCCCAACCTATCTCTGAAAAGGAAGAAGCATCATTCAGCATCTTGTACAAAACTCCTCTTTTTTTTTCTCTAGCCTTACCTTACAAAATAAGAACTGTTAGCTAAGCAAGCTCTTTATCGTGGCTTAACCCCAGAAAGGTGCGAAGCATAAGGAGACTGCATGCCAAGTGTAACCCACATAGCGGACGTGCCAGCTGCGTTGGACTGCGTGATCATAGGCGCGGACTGTGCCAGCGCCAAACGGGGCAGAGGCGGGTGATGGACTGTAAAGGAGGGGCGGGAGGTTTTGTGCTGGAGAGAAGCTAGCTTAATAGACAAAGAAGCATTAGCAGATTGGACAGAAGCAGCAGAAGAGGATGGCAAAAAAGCTTCGCCAGGTGGGATGGATGGCAGGTTCTGCAGAAGCGCAGGCTCGGAGTTAGAAGCAAGTAATGGAGGAGGTGGGGGCAATGAAACGTTAGGAGGGGGCGGTGGAGGGGAATGGAAAACAGATTGCACTGGCGCTCTGTTGAGGTGCTGAGCAGATCTAGTCTCACTAGATGTTACTAAATTAGAGGAAGGGGGTGGGAAGGATGAGGATGAGGTGCTGGCAACAGCCTGCAGAGGGTTTAAGCTTAGCACTGTGCTGCTAGAGACAGCACTGCTGCTGAAACTGGCTCCAAATTGATGAGGAGAGGAGGCAGAAGGCACCGCATGGTTAAAAATACCTGCAAACAGGAGAGAAAAACTCAGCTTCAACAGATGGGCTTTGTACAGTCTCAAGTGACAAGAGAAACAAAACAAAAAAGCAAAAAAAAAAAGAAAAAAGCAAAATTATAATAGTTACAGCCACATACAAAAATATGCAGCATGAGAAGGCAGCAAGCAATGAGAGATAATGGTGCAGGCCAGGAGGTACAAAAGATTTCACTTACCTTTCCTACTGCCAACCTCTAAATGCCACGAGGAAAAATGGTCAGACCCAAGAACTGTCAGTTCTATACCACACGGGTAGACTTTTGATGAGATTACGTGGTCTCTAGAGTTGTTTATCTGAAGACTCAAACTGCTGCTCTTCCCTCCCCACCCTCCTGCTTTCCCACTTACAGGGCAGCAGAGGGGAGATTGTATTTCCAGCAAATCTATGTGCTGAGAGATGTGAGAGTTAGGATTTCCCGACATGGTGCCTGAATGATTATGGACAGGTAAGAAAAACTGCCTTGGACACTTAGTAACGGCAGGTTCAGACTATCTTCTAGTCCTGCCAGCTTGTCTCCGGTTTGGGCCACAGAAGCCAAGCCTGTGCAGAATCCCAGAAGTGCAAGGTGCATATGGCATTGCCCTTCCTGGCAAAGAAATGCTCTTCACGTCCATTCAAGAGCCAGAATGCTACGCAAATTCCCAACACCATCTCCTCTGAAGAGGCACTGATGTTTTGCTCTTCCTGGATCACGCTAAATCCATTCAAGGCCTAATCTCAACCTTTACTCAAGTTGACAAGTTAGAGATCCTTAACTTGGTACCATGACAAGTTAAATCTTTTACCTGCAGGCGGACCTAAGTTGGTTCCAACACAAGCATACATTACAAAATCACAAAGTCTGGGTGGATTCTTTCATTAAGGTGATACAACAAGCTCATCTAGTAGACAAAGCTCACGAGATTTCACTGTGGGGATCTGAACTCATCCTAGCATTTCCGAGAGATAGAGGAGACTGGTTATGTGGGACAGATCTGCTTCACATCCTGCAGAAGTGAAAGGGTTTCACCCCTGGAGAGGCAGTGTCAGACTTTCCTTTAGGCCCTGTCTTATACCAGAGAAAGAGTTCTGCCTACCTCCAACTGTTCCACCTGTAACCCCAGGAGAGAAGTTCCCCATAGTGTGAGAATTAGTCAGTCTGGTTGCAGCTGATGACACGTGGACCAGACTGGCAGCAGCTGGCATTGAATTAAATAAGGACTGCAATACTGAGGAATTTGTCATCGAGTTGAGGTTTGCTTGCAAGGCCATGGGGCCGAGGGGGAACTGCGATCCAGTGGTCAAAGTGTTTAGGAAAGGATGGTGCGTCTGAACAGAAGATGCTGGGTTGCCTGCTGAAGAAACAGCAGTAGAAAGGCTTTTACCATTCAGAAGGCCACCAGACGAAACAGCAGCAGAAATGAAAAGGTTGTGGCCATTTTTAAACTCCACATCTCGGTCCCTTCCTTTGCCGACCTTTCCGTTATGCTGCAAAGAGTTTTTTTCTGAAGAACCCCCAGTACGAATGCTTATTTCGCTGATCTCTTTGCCTTTGACCCCTGACCGATTTAAGTCTTCTCCTTTCGTGCCGCTGAGGCCTTCGAGTTGCCTCTTGTTCAAAAAAGGATTCGTTTCCGATACTCCCACATCTTTGCTTCGCTGTGACTGGAAACCCAGGGAGCAGTTGGAAGTCGTCACGTCTGAAGCCTTATGCGGAAGAGAAGCACCATCGATAAAGCTGTGTAAACCAATGTCAGTTGACAGTCCACCATTGTACGTGAATCCGTTAGTGGAGTTTGTACTAGGGCTGAGCCCATCTGCCCCAGACGAGGGCATGGCAATGCTTTTCCTTGTGTGTGCTGTGATCTTGGCGTCGATGGCAAGGCTATCCTCGGAGGACGGCCTGAAGGCAAACAGCGAATTCTGGCTCAGAGATGAAACCGACTGCAAGGGACTATCTGTAGTTTTGGTCAGGTTGATGTCCGATATTGGTGAAAAAGTAGATTTCCATTTACTGCTATTCATGTTCTCGTTGCTTTGTGCTTGTTTCCTCCCAGATAAGCTGCCACCTAGTTTGGAAGAAAATTTGTAAGTGTCAAAAAACAGCATTCACTGCATCTGCTCATTAAGAACAGGGTTTTATCTTTCAACACCCATATTTTATCAGTCTGTAATTCTATTTCTGAATCCAAAGGCAGAAATATTTGTGAAGTCACCTAAAAGCCCCTAAAATTTAGTTTAATGCTCTGAAAAAGTTTGAGAATGCTGATCTACTTTTTCCTCAGTCTTTGTACTACAGATCCCTCCCCAAACCCTGAGTCCGTGAAAAAACTGGTCAGATCTTTGGTGACCTGTGACTACAGAAAGAACTGACCCAGAATCTGTAATTATCAGCCACCTGTCTTAATTACAATTATGCAAAGCCCTGGCAGAACTGCACTCTGCTCAGCAGTACAGAAGCACAAAAAAGCCTGCTTCTGACTAACACCTTCAGTCAGTGGCAGGCACCCGTTCCCAAGACCAACCATTACAACAAATAATTAACATTCCTCACACCTACCATTTTCAACAGTCTTCTGTGGAGATTTGCTTTCCAATGATATTGTTGCAATTTTCCTTTCAATTCTAGTGGGAAAATAAAAAGGTTATAGCACTCATTGCAGGTCTTTTGTTGCACATTTACCCTCATAATCTATCTTCCTCATGTTCAAGTCTTAACAGTTGACTAGAGCATATAAAGCCAAGTCAGCTAGAAAGCTGTATGGTACTAAAGGAACTTAAAAGCATAAAAAATCCACCACAAACTTTAAGTAGAAGCTATTACAGAATTTGTGCTCTTTGCCAAGATTAGTGCACGTTCAGAGGACTTCATTGTCGCTCTTCTTTCACAAGTAGTAAGCTGTTGCTCACGTTTCTATAGTGGTTACTTTTCCAGCACCTTAAACAAGAAAAAAATCGCACCCACAGGCAAGCAAAGGGTGGCAAGTACTCAATTTTCAGAGCAACACATCAACAGTTTGGGGCAGGAAGTGAAGAATTTTGAATCAAGCTGAAACTGGGAGTGAGGGGGAGACAGATTCTTAAAGATTATACAGAGCCTCAGTACTCCTACAAAGCAACGTAGTAAAAAGAAATCTTTTCTACACTAGTTCTTTCAGAGGCCAGACTCTGTCAGCCTTGCAAACACCGCAAGAGCAGGTTCCCACATTCAAGTACTACTGCCTAAATACCTTCCCTATTCACAGTTTCAGCCGCGTAAGAGGCTTGGCATAATGGAATCGGTCTCCAAGCAAAGGGAACAAAGAAGGCTTAACACACCTCTCCTCCAGTTCAGAGCACCGTTATCAGCTCTCAGAGAAATCTCACCCCGAAACCTATGCCTGTGTATTCACCTGCTGCTATTGTGCTCATCTTCAGATCCCTGCTCTTCATCTGATGTTAAAGGAGAGTAATGAACGCCGTTGGTCTGAATGATGGGCTTTTCCTTTTTCAGTACCGGGGGCTGGTCATTGTCCTGGTAAGGAACAGGAGAGTTCTTCAGGGAGTTTTCAGGAGAGGAAATGGCTGTTATTTCTAAAGGCTGGTTAATGTTATTGACCTGGGCAAGAAGGAAAGAAAGCAGTTACAGATGAGAGTATCCTTTTAGAAACAAGACATCTTGTTAAGGATATTAAAAGCAGGCTTAACTTGCCCAGCTTTAGGATATGCCAACAGCTGCTTGTTTAGCACTGCCATTGTTATACTCCACCATCCTACATTAGAGCCCGGGACGAAAGCTTTAATACAATTTGGAAAATATCTAATTTTCATTCTTTGATTTCATCTTTAAACACAGAAATGAAGACACGGGATAATCACTTTTTTTTTTTTCCCCAAACTACCATTGCAGGATCACATGACACAACTTGTATAGCTGGCTTAATTATGCAAGAATGCCATATGCTTCTGGCACTCTTATGCTATTTAGTCAATCTTAGTTTAAACTATTTTCAAAATATTTAACCTACAGCCTAAAAATCAACTTCATTGCAGAAACAAGGTCTCTGTCATAAGGGAAGAGATTGTTTTTAATTTTTAATGCTCTGACAGCAAAGAACTCTTTGAAGATGTTCTACCTATACAGAAATAGTTCACCAACTTTTCAGCAATTCTCTCGCCTCTCAGAGGAGCCGTTTTCACAAAGGGTCTTCAGGCCAATTCTAGCTACTGGCACTGTAACAGCCTGAGAGTATGCTAAAGAATAGAACAGCTGAAGCTTATTTCTAATTCAAAGAGCTTTCCCAGGCCCTTCTTTCTTGCTAGAGCTCTTCATTTTTGCCCTTACCATGGAGTTGATATTGAGCGGTGAACCTGATGGTTGCGTAAAGAGTCCAGACACAGTAGGTAAGGATTTGCGTTTAGGGGAGACCCCGGAGTTCCCGCTGAGATTCCCAGTAGAGGATCTCTTCCGCCGGCCTCGCTTCTTCCCATCCTGCGCGTGTGCTTGGCCACAGTCCAGCCGAGTGCTCGTGGGCAGAGGACTGTGCTTGTTGGAAGGGGATTGTTTTACATGTCCTGTATTAGGAGAGATTGTAAAGATGATTCTTCTCTTGGCCTCGTTCTCAGGATCTGAAAACGCTGCATCAGACTGAAGATCCCCCTTTGTTCCTTCGGCAAACATCTTCTGAGCATCTGCATATTGCAATACCCCTACCAGGCTCTGGGAGGTGCCATTTAACCTGGGGCTTGTTGAGTGCTGGTGAGCAGGGGAGTTTTGCCCAGAGTTCCTTGACTGCATCATTAGCAAAGGATGTTGTGGAGTGGAACTCCGAGACCCTACTGAGTTAAATAGACTCCCAGAGTCGTCCAGAGCTGCCTGATCAACACTATGGTTAAGATGGGCTGGGCTGTTTGTAAGATTTCCATTGACTGCCACGGAGCCAGAAGAGTAAGAAAAACCTGTTGAAAGGGAAAGTATACATCATTGCTTCTGCTGAGTGATAGTTCACAGTGCTAGATTTCTGGGATGACTGGGAGTGGTTTCAGCTCTACCTGCGTTAGACCAGCCAGCAGCCGTGTATGACACAGGAAACTGCACAGCTGCTTTTTACACAGTGCAGTTGAGAACGTGGCTCTGTGTGCTGACGGTTTCAGTTAGGGGTTAATGATTTTCACTACTCTTTTGCCAGTTCAGGAAAATTCACGCGTTATATGGAGATATCCTATGCTCTACCCGTTTTTTAAATGGAATTCAAGTCCAAGTTTCTTTTGAGCTATTACGCCTTTTGAAATCAGGGCTCCTCTACTCTTAACGCCTTCCTACCGTCAAGGAAATAGACGGCCAAATTCAGTCCGTTTCCTTCCCCAAAAAAGAAGGGACTGTGTCATCTATCTACACAGTCCACCTTCTCAAAATTAAACAAAAGGCTGTGGCTTAGGGAGTGACAGGGGATCTTCAAAGAAACTGTGGCAGAAGAATGCCACGTGGGAGGACGCTTGGAAAGGGAATTAAGTAATTGTCATGGTATATCATAAGTGGGTTTAGTGCTCTAGTAAGGCCTTGTCTCTGGGCTGTCTAAATGGAAGGGGTAGAAGGGAACATGGTATTGTTCTCAAACAAGGGGGGTTTTAAATACTTCATTGGTTTTATAGAAAACTGCAGCCAAGCCCTTCTTTGCAAAACAGATGCTAGAAACACCACAAGCCCCTCGAGGTGGTAAACATTAAGAACAAATGCACTCTCTGATGAGGGATCAGCTGTAGAATAGCTTCGGTATGCTAGAACCTACTGTTCCTGGTCCACAACATTTCCATATCCTGAACAGCTAAAGGCCACAATTTCAACAGGTGAGTGAGTTCAGAAGCAATGTCTGCACTTAAAGGTATCCCTACCCTCTCCCGTTTGAAGTTTCTTCCTACCCAGATACTTGTGCCTTTACAACTGCTCATGAGGCACCATTGTGACCTGCATCAAGAAATTAATTTTGCTATTAAAAAAAACTCCACCACCCTGTAAAATAAAACTTTTAAAGCCGGATCATCAGCTCATAGCACAGCTATGCAACACTTCGCTGGTTTCGCACATTGTAAAGATAGGAATCTTTTAATCCACATAGAAGAATTTACAAAAGCAATTTATTTACACTGCAAGGTGCTGCAGTTCAGGTAAAGGCACGTCAAACCAATACTTTATGCCAGAATGCATCCAAGCTGTAGGCATGTACTGTCTCAAAACATCATCATCCATGATTCTTTGGTCTCGTTACAAAACACACATTTATCTAGTATTCTACTGCCTGAATGACCTGACAAGAAGTGCTCGGAAAACTCCAACACGTGCACTTGGCACTGCTGTCACAAGACAGCACACCTTCGCGTAGATGAGGCTGTTACCTGAGGTAGCCAAAGCCAGTGGCTTGTTTCCAGCAGCATTGCTTACGCCATTATGAGAACTAGCACCAATCTGCTTTTCAAGTGTCGATGAGTCTCTACTCTGATGAACTGGGCTAGGTGTGCTTCTCTGGGGGGAGAGAAACAGGCATTTTAGTACAGGAAGTATACTCAAAAGTCAACAGTTTAAACAAAATTCACATGCATTAGTAGATCTATCAAGGAAAGTGGCTCTACTTCCTAAGTGTCCTAGATTTTGCTTGTTTTGAGAAAAACATAGATCAGCATGTTATGGGACAAAAATAAATACCATGATTAATTTTACTGCAATAGTATCTAGCACACAACAGATACCATGCAGCTAGAGGGAGAACAGGCTCTTCGTCCCAGAAAGTTTAGACTCAGGACAGCACTGCAATCAGAGAGCGAATGCCTCAGTCCACTGTGTCACAGGCAGCCGGAAAGGAAACAAATGGTTGTATCATATCCCCAAGCCTGTGCACACAAAGTTCCCCAAAACAACCCCAAACTGAACAAGAAATGCATTAGGCTATGTTCTCTGGTACACTATTTGAGGGTATGATCAACAAGCGGTGCTTTCCTAAAGCAATTGTGAAACGGTACCCTGAATAAACAATGTGTTGAAGTGAGAGATGCCATCCATAGCTAAGATTCTCTCTCTCTGAGGACATACGATTTCTGCTCGGAGCTGGGCAGACTGTAATTCTGCTACAACTAAAAGTCTACAGCTGGAAAAAGATAATGGATTCAATACTATGAAACAACTCCAGCTTTCCAAATATGGGATTGTAAGGCAGGCATTTGTGGATGGATTCTAAATTCACAGCTCTCATGTGAAAGCAGCAAATGCTTCTCAGTTCTCTACTGTAACACTTCTGTGACAAACATCAGTGAGAAGCTGGACCAGGCTTTTTTAAACTCCTCTGCCACTGAGAGTAGCAGGGACTTATCAGGATTTCAAAAAGAGATGGCCCCAAAAGTTCTCTAGTTGCTCTCTGCTGCTACAGAGCAGTCACTCGCACATTAGGTATTACAGCCTCAAGGAGCTATTCAAGTTCATCCTACACACGTATGTGATAAAGATAGACAACTTTGAGATGACCAAACTGAGGCAGAAGAATTTGTCTCCCAGGATCATGCAAGAAGGCAGGGGCTAAGAACAAACTGACATGTGTGATTCTCTACTTTCACTGCCACAAACTCTCAGACTCTGCACCTTTTCCACCCAGCCAGACATCTAAGACTAGGATCTCGCGAGGCATGTACTTTACTTTCCTTCCTGGCTGAAATATCACTACCCCACAGACACATGAGAGGAAAAAATCTACAGAATGACTAAGAGCCAAGAGGATGCATCCCAACAGCAGCCTCCCCCGAAGCATTAGACATTCAAGATTAGCAGCCCACTAAGGATTCCGGTGCACAGCACCCCATTAACTGCCCAGTGTGATTTTAGTTAGGGATGGAAAGTGTTGACAATCCCTTACTCACCACCTTCTCAACACGGCTAGGTAGGACTACGCTGGCCAGAGGGATACTAACAGGGAGTTTATTGGGCTGCACTGTGCTGAGAGGAATACTGATAGGTAGGCTGGTGATAGTTTCTCCATTACTCACAGAGGTTCTCTCTCTCAAAACCTATAAATGCAAAAGAGAAAGTAATGTTCTTAACTGCACGCTATTACTGAAAAGACTCTTTAAACTAATGGTAACCTGCTCATTTATTTTTGTGACACCCCCCCCCCCTTTTTTTTTTTTTTTAAAGAATTACACTTTTAAGGGTGATGACTATATAGCAAAGATAGGGCATGCATGGAGCAGCTTTGTTACCAACACCAGTCTACTGGGACAGCAATATCCAACAGCATAGAAATATGTAAATTAAAGCTACTGCCAGCCCCAAGCATAAGCAAAAGGATGCCTTAGGCAAGCTCATTTTCTATTGTCTTTGTTAGAGCTCTGTGAAAAGCACTCATCTGACAGAATTCATATCTTGAGGTCCTCTGTACGCAGAAGATGTAGCCAGAAATATTTCCATGGTAGCCTCCTATTGGAGGGCACCTGCTTGCTCTGAAATGAGCATCAATATGATTCATGGCTGGACCAAGTACGTGGGCAATTTTTTGTTTGTTTTTTTTTTTTAACTATGAAAGAGTCTGCTTTTCAAGTTCAAGTAGACACGCACCAGGTCAAAAAGAAGTCCTACTGCATTACTGGCACAGTTCACATGCAGACCAGTAACTCAGAGGCAAGCATATCTTTCATGAGCACAGTACTCTCTTTGTCTAGCCAGCTCCTTTTTATTGTATCACACCTACTGTATTTTGTGTTACTTTCCATGCCAAGCTGACCACAGAAAGGAGCATGCCTGCATTCCCTAGTTTGGCCAACTTTTTCTTTATTCTACCAGGTGTAACATCTCTGCCCTTGAGCACAAGCAGATCTTACCTTCTCGCCTGCAATTGGTAAGGCCGCCGGGGAAGAGGGCCGAGTTTCCTGAGGACTCAGCTTTATGCCATTTGACATACCAGGGCTTGGATATGTAAGGCCATTCTCTTTGACATGGTCAGCTCTGGAACAGAGATGTACGATCGTTAGAATACAAAAGCTAATGACTTCTCTTTTGCAAGGAATTCCTGTACCAAACTCAAGGCACTGTACCACCTTATTTACCTAATCAGCTGGCACTGCTGGTTTTCTTGACACAAAACTTTTAAAAGCATATAAAACTCCGCTTTTAAAAATATTTTTCCACAATCCAAATAAACCACTATTATTAAAACAAGCAATAGTATTACCCCTCCTTTCCCATCCTAGGAAATGATCGCTCTCACCTCTGTATCTCATTAGTTGTTGCTTTTCCATTAACTGCATGGTCTTGATTCAAGTGTCTCCTTAGTGCTATTTTAGCTGGGGAAAACCTGGTATAATCAGGTAAGGACAAGCTTGTCATCTTGTCTGCCTTCTGTCTGCTGCTGTGGTTTGGGGTACACGGAACTATTTCTTGGTCCAGGTGAGAGGTCGTGTACTGAGGGGTGTTCTGCTTTGAAGAGGGCCTGCTAAAGGTGTTATGAATTTCATAGGGAGTAGCATGGCCATTCATGGACAGTTCAGGGCTCATGCCATTGATGTGGGGCATAGGAAACTTAGAGCATTCAAGTTCCAGTTGGAACCTGCCGTGATCAGCCTCAGGATCACGGCTCAAATGGTTTTTATTGCGTAGCTGTACTGACAGTGACTCATCAGACGGCGTGTACGACTTCAGCTGCATGAGCTCCTGCTGTCTTTGACTTTTCTCAAGTTCCACAATGCTGATCTTTAAATGAAGAGGAGAACAATTATTAAAGACCATACTGAACAATTCTATCACATTATGGAGTTTTGCCTTGATATGCTTCTCAGGAAAAGTGGCCTCATTTCTGGGAACAATGCAGAACAATTGACCCACAATTTGAGAAACAAATTTCAACGTGCTGCTCTGAGCTTGAGACCAAAAGGCGCAGGTAAGGGGAATGGCTCAGAGACTCTTAGAAAGCACCTTTCAGATCCTGAAAGCAAACATAAGATATCTCCAACGTATACAGAGAGTATGGAGTAATTCAATACTGCCAGTCATTGAAGGAAGCAGTCGCTCCATGTCAAGGCATTCAGCAAAAGGCTGGATTAGCTCTAGTGCTAATCTCACAGGGAAAGAAAAGTTCTTTAGTCACAGGAGTTTAATTTCTTTTCACTATGGTAAGTGACATTCTGTGGGAACTGATTCCTGAATCGAGACATCAGAGCACACATGCAAACAAGCAGGACCTTTCTTTTCACCAGGTCATGCTTTTTAGTTATATTTAATGATAAACCATGATTCCTTCTTCCACAGCATTACCAAGGGAATCAGGTCATAGAATCTACTTCAAAGGTTATCCACATCTTCCTTCTTCAAGTTTACTAAAACCCTCTAATAAAAAGATTAATCTTGGGGGGAGGGGAGAAGAACAGCCATCTAGCTTATCCTTTAACATCATATTTAGTTAAATACCTTTAACTGGCCCATTGCCCAAGAGTTACCCCAAGTTGGTGACTCTAGATTTGTTTCTCGCTCTCTACCTGCAATTCCAAACAGTGCTTTTGTTTCTCAGAAATCTGATTCTTCAACGCCTGCTTCTCTTTCAACAAGTTCTCCAGTGACAATGTTGACCAATCCAGCTTCAGTTCTTCACACCGTGCCTTAAGCTGCAAAGACACAGGATAAACAGATGAAAAGACAACTTTCACCACTTCGTACCACCCAAGGTGCAAGCTGAAAGCCATGCACCTTTCAACTGGACATATACAAGAAGCTTCTTAGCCCATTGAAAACCCCTCTCAGCTTAAGCCAAAGGCCACCAAAATGGTCCTGTAGTCCCCACGTAATGTGACAGGAGGTGGCCTGGTTCTTTCTGAAAATAGTGTTGTCACCCAGACTCCCTAACCACTTCCACATCCAGATTTCCCCCGCACCTACCTTAACAGTTTGAGTTACCAAGATGAACACCACAAGATTTATGGCTACCACAAAGCAAGCACTGTACAAACTTCTTGGCCAGCAAGATCCAGATTCAGTGACAAGCGCATATACAGCTGCACAGCTGTTTACGGGACGCAGCTGAGGCCAGAGCCAACTGTCACCTCAGCATTTGGTTAGAGGTAAATAAAGGTCACCAGGAAAAAGGACCACCTGCATTCTTTCCTCCATCATTCTTCTCTGTTACAGAGGAGCTACAGCAGCCAGATGATTTTTCATTCGTTAAGATACTTTGAAGAAAGGGCAGCCCTCGGCTCATGACCTGTCCTCCTTACATAAATGGGAGCATCACCCTTCTACTCAGACACAAGCATTGTACACACCAGCTGTAAGCTCTGGTTCCTGAGTTCACTGTTATCCTTCTCCAGCTGTTTCGTCTGTTCTTTCAGTTGCTGATTGTGAGCAGAGATTTCCTTCTGAGCCTGAATCAGGTCATTGTATGTCAGAGCTTTAACTCCCAACTACAAGATGAAGGGTGAGAAGGAAAGAGATCATTCAATAAGGTTTTGACACCCTAATTGCAGACGGCTGTCATTCAAAAGTGACACTGAGGAGATCCACCGAAATCATACGGCTTACAGGAAGTCCCCCAGTATTCTCCAAGGTACTTTGTCATTGCTAGGAGATAACAAGGAAGGACAAAAAGTACCTCACTTGGAGCTGCTGTTCCAGCAATTCAACTTTAAAACTGGCATTTAGTTTCTTGCCAGCCAAAAGAACACTATTTTTATAGAGAGCCACCACATTTCCTTCTGCGTTTCTGAACTTGCGTTAGCAACACAGAGTTTGTTCAATCAGCAGGGGATGCATCCTTTACTAAAATACCACAGTGTCTGTGGTCTGTCACGCCCTTCCCTTGGATACAGAGTGGCACACAATTTCAACAATGAAGATAAAATCTAACCAAAGAGTGACACAGATTCCACATTATTTAGCATGATCTGCTGCAAAGCGGAGGCTGAAGACCTGGGACTACTCTGGTCTTACTTATTTTTATCACAACTGTTTGCATGCAGATGACTAACAAGCATCCACTTCCACCAGATCAGGGCTACCTCATCAAGTTTCTGCTGAAAAAGACGTTTGATTTCCTCTTTCTGTGCCTGGCAGTGGGTGAATAACTGCTGTGCTGTCCCCAGTAGCTGAGCATTCTTTTCCTGGAAGAGGGAAGAGTGAGAAAATACACTTTTAGCACCAACTGCAGCACGATCCATCTTAGGAAGATGTTTACACCTAGTTTGTATAGCAAGTTGGGAAGGAATCTGAACTCAGAGGGGAGATGTATGAACTATTCCAGCTCTGTCTCAGACTTCTGTGAGCATGTGTTTGTTAGTGTTGAACACTTGGTGAAGTTAAGTAAGCTGAAAAGAGCTGTTAAGTAGTTTTTTCTGCTATATGGTAAAATATAATCAGGACAGCCTTAAAAACTCATTTTTATCCTCCTAGTGCATTGTAAAGAAATAGTAATAATCACATCCTACAGAGCAGAAATGGAACTGGAAAAGATTATCTGTATGAAATCTGTTACTAAACTGGGAACAGAATCTAAATCTCCAGAGTCCCAATTCAGAGTTTTCCTACACAATACTCATGGAAGACACACAGTAAATGAAAATACACTGTGGGGGAGGTAGGAGGAAAGTCATAAATAAGCCAAACCACTTCTACTTCTAATGCCAAAATTACTTCAGGGGACCACCCGACCCTTCCACTCGCAGAACATTTCCTGCCCATAACATTCCTTAACTAGATACTTGCTTACTCATTTCATGGTCGTGCACTATGTGAGCGGCAAAGGGCAAAGATAGGACTGGCTAAAGAGTCTCATTTATTCAGTTCCCCATTGAAAGATGAGTGCAGCAAGAAGAGCGGGCTCTAGAGATTACACTTTTCTCCAGCTTATGCTGCTGAGGCCAAATAGGAATTGTGCAGAAACTGAGCCATCGCTCCAGAAAAAAGTGGAGGACAAGGGCGAAAAGCACCTTGATCTTCCAAGCAACCCATGTGTGAAGCAAAGCAGCAGTGCTGGCAAGTTCCGCACGTGCGAGAAAACACAGGACCTGGCATACAGCTCCTGCTGCCTCTCACGCCAATGACTTGGGAAAACAGTTGAGTCACTGCAATGCTAAACGGACTGCCATAGGTGATGCTGAAAAAAAATCACTTATGCTTTCAACATCAGTCATTTCATTCAGCCTTTACAAGGAGTGGAGGAGCTGACAGCTCCATCTAAGGGTAATCTGGTGAACTAGCAGCTCACAGCATCTTGTTTATTTTAAAATCGTATTACAGAAATGTTCTTCTTGTACTTGAAACCTTCATGTAAAAGGGAGTTATTAAATAGAAAATACAACAGCACCTCATCCAGCAAAGTTCTGTTTCTGCTTTTGTGAAGTTTAACTTGCCATGCTTTCAGTGTAACACTCCATTAAAAAAATATTTTCATACTGAATTCCTCATTTTAATGTCTTAAAGTATGAAACAGCTGTCAGACACCAACACGAAGTGATTACTTTTCCACACTCTCAATTTATACTTTCAGTGTACAGCACAACATTTGCACGCTATCATTTCTCATGCTATTTTCTGTGCAAGGAGATAAATTAATTTTATGCTGACTTTCCTGACAAGTACAGAACAAGCAGAAAAATATGCTGCTTAAGGAAAAAGTTGAAAATTCAAAGTGCTGTCTGACTGTGAAAACAAATGGAAACAACCATAGAAAAAAGGTTTGCACGAACACCACATCAGCATCAACCAATACGCAGTAACGAATGGGGTGGCACAAGTTAGCCTCTCTCATCTGGAAAAAGAGTTCCCATTGTGGAAAACCCCATAAAACAATGCTACAGCTTCATGCTGACACTTTCACAGAGGCCACAGAGCAAAGGAAAGCTTCCACGGGGGCTACCAAAAGCTAGAATTGGCCAGAAGTTAAAGATTATTGTTGAGCTCTGTGGGGAAAGCTTCCTCCATAGAAGTAGCAAGCACAGTCTCTCTCCTAGGACTAATTTATAAAGCAATTAAATTATTCATTAATTGAGGTAAAGCAATACAAGAAGAAAAGGTGTTTAGCCAGTAAATCTCCTCCCTCTGCTGGGGAGATGGCTCCATAGCAGAGAAAAATGCCACACTTCACAGCTGCAGGGTTTTCTTCGCCTTTCCATGTATTTGAACCCACGACTTGGTAAATTTACACTTTGCCCACCAGTGTAATCTTAACACATTAAGATTATCAACACTAAGGATGCTTCATTAAATCTCTTGAGTCAGTAATGACAGTTCGGATTTTTTAATTCCGTACTTCAATTTGTTACAAGTTTAATGAGGCATCCTGATGCTAGAGTACTCAATTCATTTAGGCTTTCCTACAGTAGGAAAAGAATAGGATGTCAAAAACCAGAAAATTCAGCTCCAAGGAATTAATATCTGTGTGTTTTTCAAGATAGTCCTCCTTCAAAGTTGCTACAATCTTTAGCTAGATTAAGCACAATTTAATTATCTAAGAGCAGTTTGACTAGCAGCTCGCAGGACGCATCCATGCAGGGAAGCCCCTTTAAGTGGAGGGCATGAATGTGTTCAGGCAGCGCATACTGCTGGAGAGGCTGACCACCACCTCTTGCTCCTGTGACCCATGAGACACTTAGAGAAGAAAAGCAGCTGCCAACCCCAAATGGGAGAAAAGGACGGGGTTCAATACACCAGCTTCCTGCATAGGTGTACACAGCTTCATTTCAAAATAGAGGAAAAACACAGAAATATTGACGTAAGTCTTATTAGGTGGAGGGGCATCACAGCGAAGAGGGGAGGTGCATCTCTCCCAGTTCGCAGATGGGAAATTTAAGCACACAAAGACTGACCGAGTTAGCAATAAAATCCCCAGGTACAGTCATTCACCCTAAGCATTACTCTGGTGGTCTTTATAATTGGCCTGGTGCAGCACCGATGTTAAGTGTACACAATTCTGATGGCCAGCATTTTTTCCCCCACGTCTAAGGTATCTGGTAGTCCGACAATTTTGTTCAGAAATGTTAAAAATGAGACCTACCTTTTCCTGCTCCAGTAACTGTTGCAGACTTGCTTTATACTGAGGAGTTTTCATGTATGCCATGAACTGCATGTACTGGATCTTAAAAGAGTCTGCAAAATAAATAAGGAGATGATATATTTCAAGTGAAAGAAAGTGCAGCGCTCCTATTTACCCTGTTACCAATGCTCCTATTTGCTCCCTTGACACCTCTCCCCCCTTTGCGCTCTCTTGCTTTTTATTTGGACTCTAAGTCAGACCAAGCCATTAAAGATCAATTTAGAACATGCTGAAAATCCATCTTCTGATGCAAGCTGAACTCTCGGATCCATTAGCTACTTATAATAGGTACCCCAATGGAAGTCATGACAACGCATTCAAAAACGCAGAGGAAGATGATGGGTGCTAATGGTGTGTTTGCATGATGAAAGAGGAGTTGAACAGCTTTTAATGCACTGTAAGTAGAAATAATAAAAGAGATTAGCTGTAACAGCCAAAACCAGCCCTGAGCTCAGAGCACTCATTCCCCCAGCGTCAAGACACGGCTTGCTGTACTCCTCCTACCTCCATACAGACAGATGACAAGCTCTACACCCACATTTACTCTATCCTCCAAGGAGCACTTGCTTCTCATTGTCCTTCTACCTCCAGTCTCCTATTACACAATGAATCTTCCTTCTCCCCAGCCCTCACCACTGGGGCCCTTTCATCATAAAGCCAACCACATGATTAAGTCCAGTCTGCTGCAATCACAGGCAGCCAAAACATGTAATAGATGGTATACAGAGTTTTGCAGCAAGGTTTACTCCAGACAAGTGTCATTCACTCACTCTTTTTCTCCCTCTTTCTCTACAGTAAGAAATCAGTCATAACTGTAAGACACCACAGCAAGAGAACAGGAGTTAAGGACATCACAGATGCCCTTGGTCTCTGCATAGACAGGAACATTACATCAGATTCCCAGATGATCCTCGACTGGCTCATGCCCAATGCCAAAGGCCAGAAACAGAGTCAGGGGGAGGAACCAGAAGACCCAAAAAACCACCCTCCAAGTTTTTCCTTAAATCACCTCTTGCTTATGGAGCAACCACACCACCTTTGTGACCTCAAAAACTCAGCATCTCATTTTACTTTGCTCTAAGTTTTGCAGATAAAATGAAGTCGTGTTCTCCAAGATTGTATCATTTAAGAGCAAGAGAATGGTTTCATTTAAAATAGTTATTTCTGACTAGCCATTTCCATTTAAAGTTATTTTGGATTCCTGCTAAACCCAAGCTTATTTCCTTTTGTGCCAAATGAGAGCTGAAACAATGTCAAAAACCAAACGCAGACCAAGACATCAACTTCAGCAGCAAGCAAGAGAAGAGACCTCATGGTGGTGCCAACAGAAGTGGGGCACGGGGGGAAGATGGGGGAGAAGCTATCCCCCTCTCCTGTTCAACATACAGCTTTCCAGAGTGGCTGTCTATTAGTAGCCCTTTGATTTACCATATGTCCTACTTTGAGGTTTCTGAGGTTCCCGTGACAAGCACAGTGACAACATTACAGTCTTACCTAGCAGCTTCTGTAGTGCAGGTGGGGTAGGTGTCACCAGTAGCTGGTTAGATGAATGCCGTTGCACTTTAGGAGGTAGTTGGTAATATGGACTATGAGGTGACTTGTATGCATCTAAAGAGAGAAACAAAGATAACCTTTCAGATTACGAAAGTCAGTTTCTGGCAAGTACTTTACCATTAGATAGCACGTCATTCACAATGCAAGATCCAGTAACTTAGCTAGATCAACACGCTGCAACAAATTGTTTGGAAAGACATCTACAATTTATCCTTAGAACAGCAGCAGCAGAGACAAGCTATCAGCCACAGCTCAGCTTCAGCTTCTGGCCAAGCACCTACAGACAGATTCAATCACCATCTTCTCACAGAGGCACACCCCCATCTCAAGGGGAACTTTGCTTTGGTGGCAAGGGAGAAGTTACGACACAAAACCCAACTAAACCTAGCAATAAAGGAAGAATGACCTCCAAGCATGCATTCAGAACCTCAGACACTTATCTACACTCATGTGGCAAGGGGAGGCTTCTTCCTGCCAGCCTTGAACTCACCCTGAGGAGAGGATGAAGATGTCTGTGAAACAGTTTGAGCATGCAGAAGTTCTAGTGCAGTTTGGTTCTTCTTGGTCTTGCGCTCTGTATTTGCAGCGTTCATTTTCTTGGGACGTCCTCGTTTCCTGCCTGCCATTTTCCTTCCTTTTTTACTTAGCTTTTTCTTCCGTGCTTTGGAGGGAGATGGCTTTTTAACAGAATTTGCCCCAGCCTTTTCTTCTTCAGCACCAGAATCCTAAGAGATTTTTAAAAGCCAAAAGCTCTTTACTCATTTCTACCTACATATGCAGCATTCCTTTTAAGCAAGCATTAATAACTTTAATAATTTTGTGAAAGAAAACTGATGCATTGTACTTAAATAGCTTGCCAGTGAAGTAGACTTGCTTGGGATAAGAGCTGTCCCCCAACATCCAAGGAGTTGTGCTCATTCTCTTCTGGACTTACTCATTACAGAAAAGGAAATCGGTAACTGTTGTCTAAGAAAAGCTGATTATTCACCCTGTATTGACTGTATTCTTCAACTAAATTTCATTAAAAAGTCAAAGTACATTCAATACTTTATATTTTTGTGCATGAACAGTCACTGCATTCTAACAGTATTATACAACGGAATGAGAAAATAAATGAGTCCTTGCAAAAGAGGCTCAGCACACTTTGAACTCCATTCAATGGGTTATGACTCAGGGAAAGTTCTGCAAGCTGGTGCTGAAGGTAAGCAAGGGTGGACAACCTACTATTCTATTCATCTTGCAGTACCTTTTTTCCAGAATTAGTGGTGCAATTCCCAAGTGCAGCTTTTAAGTCACTCCATCATATTTTTGTCCATAGCAACAGCTATACCAGTTTACAGGTTCAGAACAAACACAGTCAGTCTTCCCACAGAATCAGGCTTTTCCTGACACAGATTATGAGTTCATGCACAGCTAAAGAGAAAACACATTCACTCTACGAAAATGCAGGATGTTCACCTTGTTTTCTTGAACCTTCGTTGGAGTAGTTGTGTTGCTCTTATTTTCTCTTTGTTGACGACGTCTAGCTGCCTCTTGTTCCTCCTGGATAAATGTTTTAAAAGACTTAATAATTTGCTCATATATTTATCACTTTTTAATACAGACCACTGTGTTGCCCGGCTTAGTCTTCCACTAGAGCTAGGTATATGTGCTCTTATCATACAATGCCTAATTAAAAAAAAAACAACAAACCCTTTTGTTACCAGCAAGGGAAAAAACTTACCCTGCCTCAGGCAACACTCAGTGGGAAAAGGAAGATAAGGGTAAGTTTGCACCACATTACCTACTATAATGGGTTTCAAACATGCAGCCACAGGGCAAAGGAGATTAAGCCCCAACCTCTCCCCTTATTCTGCCCCTCGCAATCCCACCCCCCAGATCACACACTGGTGTTACAGGTTTGGTTTGTTGGGGTTTTTTTAAATATTAAATATTTCAATCGCTTTACCTATATCCCCAACATTTCATGTGTTGCTACATCACTTTAAAAAATCTTACATGACTTGAAATGGCAAAGCCATTACTCATCATCTAATTCAACTTTGGCCAAGTCTGTAGAGGAGACTTAAAAAAAACCAGCAACTTCTATGCTTGATTTTCTACTAGGCGGTAAGGACAGGAAATTTCAAAGAGCTCACTCAAAGCCTTCCTTGTACATTCCAGGTGAGGTTTAATCTGCATAAGAATTCTGGCAATTCCAACACCTCTTCAATTTAAGCAAGTTATCAACTAGACCCTATAAATAGCCTCACCATAAAAAGCAGAGAAGTTCAAAAGTACACGGATGCCACGCTGCATTTTTTATTTTGACTCTGAGAAGTCTTTTTTCTCCCAAGTTTGGGTTATGTCAGACTGCTGAATTCAATCTCAAAGCTACCGTTAGTCTGCTTTCAGCACTTACTAAGCAAGTCACTCTGAAGACTAACATTCACCTGAAGTTTTAAATTAAGTGGCCTCACTTAATTCTCTTACTGGGAATACCAGCCTCATCGGTTGTTTCAGATTAATACAGCCCAGCAGTCTCAAAAATCCTCTGGCGTTTTAATTCCACATGTGATAGCACAGACTGCAGCAACTGACAACACATTTCATGTCTTTAATAGCATGTCCCAAAAGTAACATCTCAGAGTGCTCTTCAGCTTCATTTTCACGCAGCTGAACGCCGGGACAGATTCAAACTATCATTTCATTCTTTAACTTCAGTTCTTTAATGAACAAATAGTTCTTTATAGACCTCCAATGCAAGGGAAAAACACCTTGCGGCTGCACCATTAATTCTGTACTAGAAAGCTCTTCAACATGATTGTATTAGTGCTTGATGGCATATGATGCTTCACTTCAATTAGCTCCACACCCACGTTCCTTGTTTATCAAGAAAATTTGATTTTCTATCAATTCTGTACATCTTTAACAAGTGACTAAACTCCTCATAGTGACTGTTCCATTATTTTTAGTTTTCTACAGAAAATGACTGAAACTTACCCTGAGTTTTGGATTTTTGAGACTAGAAAAATAGTTTTCAAGCTGAAAATAGAAAGATAAGATAGTCATTTTCAAAGTCACGACAGATGAATACATAAGAACAAAGTATTAGCTTAAGACAAATGCAGAACTGCAGAAATTCTGACTGGTTTTCTTCTGATAAGCTACATCAAGAAGCCATTTACATTCATTCTTTTTAGCGACACAGACATGTTGTGTAGCAGGACATAATCCAAGCCTCAACAAGGTTTTATCATCTTCACCACTGCCTATCCTTGTTTTAAAGCTTTGTGTCATGTATCTCCACTCAGCACGTTCTTTTCAATGAAGTTACTTTACTCTTGTACTCCACTAAAATATTTATCCGCACTCCAGCATATTCTTTAACAAAAGCATTATTAGACTACAGCAGACTGAGAAAAATAGTCTTACTATCATATTGCAAAAAACTCAGTGTGGGAATAAACTATTTCTTCACAAAAGTTTACATTTCTACAGGGTTGTTTCTGTTTTCTTTAACTGAAAAAAAAACCCAGGGAATGTATCAGCATTGTTACGGAGATTTGGCTGGAAGTTCAACTAAAATTGAGGTTTACTACTTGATTATGACAGAATAAAATGGTCTGTACACCACAAAGCAAACTGAAGTATTAAAGACCCACAGAGTCTTTACTCAGTGTGGAAGCTAGAGCGCAAGACCCACCATTCTGCATAGTTGCATATTCTGGAGCACGAGAAGGAATTATACTTGTAAATCTATGCACCTTCAACAAATTAACAGAGTACCGTAGTGCTGTCCATAATTACACTGTCTGTGTAACTGAAGCCGCCAGAGGCTAACCCGTGCAGTATGATCTGCACATTTAGCTAGACTGAACAGGTAACTGGGGAAGTGCACCCATTCCAATTAGGTGTGCTAAAGGTCTGTAAAATATGCAAACGAATATGAAAACAATTCCCACGAACAAGGATCTGAAGTTGGCATGTTGATTCCAGAGCCAGTAAAGCAGCCAGAGATCTACTGGCCTGTATTTATACTCACTATGGTTCGGTCAATAGTATGCAGGTAGTAAGAAACTGGTTTCCCGGTCCATGACACAGACCCTTTCAGTGGTGATAGCTCCACAACTCTCATTATAGTGCCAATATCTAAAGGAAGAAAGTCAAGTTAGAGAATCAAAGCTCGCTCAGTTTGCCACTCAGTTCTACTCAGCTGAAACTAGCCATGCAACAGTAAAGGCATATTTAAAACGAAAAGATAAAGTTTGTATTCAGATAGCAATGTCCCAGAAGAAAGCACTGCAGCGAGTTTAAAAAGAAATTTCTTATTCTCTTGCTACGTGCACCCTACAGAAAACTTAAGAAATCTGGAAGATCTACCCTTCATTTCTTCAGAGATAGTCAGCCATTCTAGTGTAAAATTACGTGCTAGTGCAAGCTTTTAACAAACGGAACTTTCCTGTGTCTCAGAGACAACTTTTACGAGGAACCCAGCGACAACACATCTGCATTAACAGGCAGGATTCAATTAGATAGAACCAGTAACAGAACGTCATTAGATCCAACCCATGTAAACTGTAACTGCACTATATTTGGACTGGGGACAAACATGTTTTACATTTGCTTTCTTGCCTACATTTGTTTTGTTCCCTAGAATTAATAGGTAAGGGATGTGTCTAAGCATTTCCATAACCACTGAACACCAGAGTGAGTGACATGACTGCAGAAGAAATTATGGCACACTTCTAATTAAATAGAAAATTACCCAGAAGAGTCAAAAAGCAAGGTTTAGGATTCAGCAACTTCAACCACTATTTTAACCACATTTTAATACTTGTTTTGGTTTGTCCCAACTCTTTCCGCATTTCCATTTCTTTTTCCAGATGGAACTACTAAGGACAAAAATGGTATTGAGAAAAAAGGTTGCCTGCTTCTTAAAGCTTTATCTTTTCCACTATATTTTTTAAATTATTTAACTGTTTGTACTTTAGATCAAAATATTAGATAGACAGGCAAGCCATGTGACTCAAATCATACTCAGGCACAAAAAAAACCCCCGCTGAATAAAAGTATTATGAAAAACCTTGTAGGGCAGCAGCATAAAGCTAGCACAGCAGAGTGAAATCACCTTCTCTGCATGTGAAGGATAGTGGCCACATTTGATGCCACGAGCTCTCAGTGGATGACGTTTCCCTGGAAGCATCACTTACAACAGGCCATTAAGACTGGAACAAGCCCCAGGCCTAGCACATCCCATGCATGTTCATTTGATATTGGTACTTCCCAAATACAGCATGGTCATAGAATGGGATTAAGACCAAAAAGAAAATTTATTCCCCCAATTTTCCTTCACTGTTTGTAGCATACAAAGGTAATTTCTTTTCAGGACCTCTTACCTGAATCCCTGGAAGAGTTTCCTATTAGTGGAAGCTATTATCTATTCTTATGCTAAGCAATCTCATTCACCCAAATCTTAAAATTATATAGAGATATAGCTAATTAACATCAACATTCACATTAAGCATTAAAACCCAGTTGATATATAAAACTTCAGCATTCTAGAAAACATTCCCAATGAATCCACACTGGGGTGAAAGCTGAAATAGGATAAAGAACTGGCTCAACTGATAGTCATAATCAGGCTTCTATTAGGTGAAAAAAGTAGTACACATTGGCCCCTTTGCCTCCCCACCACATGTTTAATAACTGCAGTCTCCCAAACCTAGCAAAGAGAGAGATAACGAAATGGTCAGAAGCCAGGGAAGAAAAGGCTTGAGAGGCCAAAAAAATTTATTTATGTAGGCAGGTCTCCTAATTGAAACCTCAGAAGTGCCGCCTTATATTTCATCTAGTTCTAGCGTGCTGTAAAAGAGGTAGTAGGCTTTACTGAGGTGCTCTTCATCTTATTAGCAAACTGACAGATGGATCTCAGCTCTCTGGAGGCTTGAGGATTTCCAGGAGTACCATTCTGCCTTTTTTTCCTTTTATTTTCAAGTACATGTCTACAAAGGATTGACAAGCCAGGACCCAATGGTTAATAAGGTTCCAAACAATCAGATGCCACAGAAAAGAGTATCAAACAGGAAGGAAAAGGGCAGTTTTGGGCGTCCGATGCACAAGACGTTCACAACAATTCAAGCTTAGTAAAAATAACTCACAATGGCACTATTTCAGTGAAATGCCTTAATGACAGTCTTCAAATTGCTGTTCTTGAAAAGCAGTTTACCATGAGTGTCAGGCCAAAAACAGGAAACACAGCTTGAGATTTGTAACTCAGCATGTTACTTGCCATCTTTGCACAAGGAGGGGAATAAGGCGTTTTTTAAATTTAAGGAATGTTTTGCACCGGACACAGTAAATATATGTAAAACCCAGCTTGGATCATTCTTTTGCTTGAAAACTTTCAACAATAAAAATTGAAAAAAGGTCAGAAGCAAAACCAACAACACGGGGTGTCAGTAATCTCAAAACCTCATTAAACTGCAGTTCACGTACTTGCAGAGGACAACATTGGCAAATATCAAGTCTACTACGTTCAGAAGAGAAGAAAAACACAAAACTGTTGGCAATAAAACAGACACAGCAACTGGGCATTTATGGGATAGGTCTGTTTGATCAATTTACAGTACAGAAGACAAGGCATTCAAGGTTGAACATTTCAGCTCCTAAGCCTTACAAATCATGACTGGTGAGATTTACCTGTCCAAATTCAGACAGCTACGGTATAAGGAACTTGCATGCAAGTTATCACTGCAGCTCTTTGTAGTTAAAGAAATAAAGTCACGCCCTTGAAACACCTTATTTCTCTTCAACTATAAAAGATGCCCAGCGAGGGAAACATTGACATTATAGACACCTAAACACAGCAGGATGAACCCCATAAAAAGAGTGTCTCTTTGTTCCAATGTTGGGTGGGGTTTTTTTGTTTGTTTGATTTTAAATACATCACTTTGGCATGTATGCTATAGTAATACAACAACATTTTTCTAGTTACTTACACAACTCTTTAAGGAGCAACAAAAACCCACTACAGACATGTTCAGATAATGAATACACCATAATTGTAATGAACAATAAAAAGGGCAATCATACCACTCAAGTTTCGACTGTTAATTCTAAAATTTAGAGGTGCAAAAGGTTTTGAGGACACAATTCTCCCACCTGGGAAAAGAAGAAGAAAAAAAAAAAAAGAAAAAAATCGAAGTCAGCTACCACTGTTTCTTCTAGAAATGAGTACTTATCAAATATAACCCAGTAGAGAGCCCTAAAGAGTAGCCCTAATAAAACTACCATTGTATGTAATTGCCAAAAAAAAAAAAAAAATTAAAGCTCATTCTGACAGCATCCAAGAAAATCAGTATATTAGTCCTGCTAGGTAGCTATGAGGTGACACCTTAAGGATCACTTTAAAATGACAGATCTTAAAACACTTCCAAAAAAAGAGCGCATTAATTCTCAATGGCAATCTACAGAATTTCAATTAGGAACACGGCTATCTCATTCCTAGTTAGTATCTTTCATACACAAGCCCCCAAAGCCCTTTTATTTAAAAGAACGCTAATCTCCATTTCGCAGCTATTTGCGGTCATTCAGCCCAAGGCACAGAGCCTGAGCACCTTCTGGGAAGAGAACTAAGGTTTCTTCATTTTGTAAAGAGCGCTTGAACCTTCCCCACCTTGCCACTTCTCTTAAGCCACCACTAAATAAAAGTATAAAAAAAAAAAAAAAGATCAACCACTAAAATTAAAGAAGATGGCTTAAGTTTGGGGGTTTTACTGTTTGCAACAGAGCCCAAAAGTCACATTATTTACTTCAGCACAAAGCTGTACTATGGGAAGCCACAGATTCTTTGTTCATGCCACACATTTTTCTTTTCAGAAATACTTATTTTTATAATTTCTGCCATAGCCAAATAAAATTGTTACTTATCCAAGCGGTTAAGAGGAAAGAAAAAAGACACCTCAGGCAATGTAAGGGCCACAGCGGGGTTACTGGGCATCCCCAGTCGCTGGTGTCTGCAATGCGACTTCTCAAGAAGCACACAAGACGTCCAGTGACAGTGCCCCCATTTTAATACTTATTAGTTAATACCCAGTACTAAATGCGACAACTTTAAATAGCAGAGTCCAGTAACTGAATTCAGTATGCAATTACAGAAACTGGATTTACAAAGCCATGCCTGTGCACCCAGGAAGCTTTGCAGTCTTGGCCGTTGCACGTTTTGCCGGCTCCCGTAACAGGTAAGAAAGGACCAGCAGTTCCTCCCACCCCAGCAGAGCTCCGCACAGAGTCTTCACAGGCAGAGCTACTTCCAAGTTATCAGGTAGGTCAGAGTAGGTATTAAGACAGGGACTAAAAAGCCCAAGAAATAACCATTGCGGTGCAGACGTTTGCCCGCAAGGCACAGAATGGAACCCACCAACCTGGCTTCTGATGGCTGTAACTAAGCCCTTACCACCAGCAGCTCCTACAGTAAGCAGGAAACCAATGGAAAAAGGTTTAAAGTTCGATTTGTTACCTTCCTTCATGTTCGCAAATCGCTCCTTCAGTTGGTGATCCACCTCAGGACCAAAGGCAAAATTATTCACAAAAATAACACTGCAAGATAACGGTCTAGTTAATGAACAGGGACAGGCAAATGGCACCCAAGTATACACACACAACCACCCCCCACAACCACAAGTCACAGTCACTTGTAGCCTTTACAGCCACTTATGAAACTGAAAAACGCTGCTTGTCCCTGACTATACAGCTACTTCCATCTCACCAAATGCTTTCTTCTTGCATAGTGACACAAAACAGTACCTTACCTTCAGCATTCACAGACACTGCCCACATAATTACATTTAAAAAATTTTAAAGGCGTCCTGCTCTAACAGTTCCTCTCAGCATACAGGTGAGTTTTGCACTGTAAGTTTCAACATAAAAACAACATGCAAAACGTTTTCACCCCTCTGCCATGGTGAGATCAAACACCAACAGAGCAACTACCAACACACTTACAGTAGTTAATCCACACAGGAAAAGCAATACTCCAACACAACAGAGACACATTTCATCCCATTATTTCTTCACATACATTTAAAATATTACAGCAAAACATCAAAATATATTTCCTCTTCTAGCTCTAAATTCCCCCGTAACGCAAAAAGAAAGTTGACATCACTCAGCACGTTTTCCCTGTCCTAAACCCAGCACTTCACCCTAACCCACAACAGAGGGTTTGCATCTTTCTTTCTGGGTTAGGAAATCCAATGAGGGGGTTTTGTTCCTGAAAAAAAGAACAGTCATATGGAAACAAAAAAACCTGCACATAGGTAGAATCACACAGATGATAAAAATCTTTGTGAAAGAAACAGAACACGTCACAGATTAAAAAAGAAATACCCCTTTATTTTTAAGAGCCTGGGCCTGGTCTAATTGTCCCTGGTGCCCGCTTCCTACCAGCTTGCAACAAGAGTCCTCAACATCTCTTGGAAGCCGTTGAGCACCCTGCACGCACAAACTGTGAAAGCCATTCTGGCATATTGTTTCAACATGAAGAACTGATTTCTTTGCAAGAGGTCTGTTTGAAAACTCCCCTCCTAGTGCCTCCACACATGAAACATGTTCAACAAGGACACTGAGTTTAAGAGCAGCAGCCAAAGCTATTAAAAACCACGGATGAAAAAAAATTTTTTTTTTCCTTTGGTGTATAAATAAAGTTATTCTTGCTACGCCTTGCTCTTGGAAATTTGGGAAACCCTGCCTGGCAAGTAAGGCTAGCAGGGGTTTCTTCCTCCTCCTTCCCACCATGTGCCAAAAAAGAGGCCTTGCAAAAGAGCCAAGCATATTAATGGGACTAAAAAACATCCAGGAAAGGAAGGGAAAAAGACATAGCTTGCCAGATGTATTTTTTTTTAGTGTTCATTCTGGCACAATATTTTGTATGCACATGACAGACACACAAGAGCCCCCAGTCCACCTTGACTTCAGCCCTCTTTTCAGCACGTATTGCTAAACCACAAGTACAGTTATTAACAGGAATACTGCGTGCTGCACAGCTTGCTTACATGTCAGCACTCAACCACGTAGAACCGTGTTCTGGTACAAATGCGCCCTTTCCTTCAGAGCCTGGCCGCCGGTCCACGCTCACAGGAAGGGCGACACTTCAACTTACTCTCTAAGATTGGATGGCTCCAATGCGAATTCATCAGACAATCTGCAGTCTCATCAGATAGAGCAGACACTGAACAGTTGGCACACTCGGAACAAACACAAACACCTAACAGTTGTGAGCAAAAAGCTGCTGCTTTTGAATTTCTGTATCAGAGAGCAAGGTGGCTGTGGATCAGTAGGCATACAATTAGCTGCATACCATACAAAATAAACATCTACCAGCATTTCTGCATGGAGTTAGATGTACTTCAGCTAAAAAATTGAAAAAAAAAAAATTTAAATTTGTTCCAAGAAGTTGCACAGACAGCAGAGGAGTGTGCATTTGGAATAGCAAGCAACAAAGGAAAACCCCACTGTGCTGCAAGGCTGGGACAAGTCTGTCCACAAATTAAAAGGCACATCCAGAAGTTTAACTGAGGTACATAATAATGCAAAAGTCAGCCTGGCAGACACCTTCTTGATGCAGTGCTCTTAAAACAGTGTCTTGGAAGCAATCCCTAAATTGCCACAACGCTGAAGACTTTCAGAGAGTCCTCTTTGACAACTCTCTTCCATTCCCCCACATAACAGGATGGCCCAGAAGGTCATATAAAAATAAAGACTTTTTTTTCTGTCCATAAGGCTGAAAGAATGCAAAGCCTTTAAAAATACAGAAGAATATTTTATTGCTTTTAACAAATTTACTCCCTTTTTGCTACCATCAAAAAGGAGTCTAACCCTCTGTACAGATCTTCACAGAAATAAATCTTCAAGACAATCAGCTTAAACTAATTCCCAATTTAAGTTGGAACAGACTCACTTGGGTCTTTTGCCTTTTTTTTTTTTCCCCACATGGAAAGTGAGCCTAGCTGTATGCACCAATAGCCAAGATAACTAGTGTTTTGCCAGAATCACTGAGATGAACTACAAGGATATGCAAAACAAACAGAGGTTTATACTTCTCTGTATAACCAGAATTTATCTTGGATACACCCTTGTATGTAATATCACGGGACATGCATTTAAACCCATTCTTCTAGTCAGAAAACAGGATCTGAAGAGGCCAGTATAAAAGTTGGCAGATAGACTTTTGGTGTTTGCTACAGAAATTCTATATAAAAAGCTGTCCAGCCTCCCAATTTCCATTATACAAACTCCCAAACATTCAGTTCATAAAGCAGCATTCAACTGCTGTACTGTACCTTGTGTTTGCAATTCTCTCTCTCCATTCTTCTGAGAGGAAGTCACCTCTTTCCAGCTTAAAAAAAGACAAAGAACACAAAAAACCACACACACACACAAGAGTTAACATTGTTCCTTTCTGCTCCGTATCCCTTTTCCTTTGGAGAAGGCCAAACATGCTGTACCAACTCAGTGATATTACCACAAATAAGGCCAAATGAAGTCTTTAGGAAATACCGAGGAGACAAAGCACCCAGAGCTCAGCAGCTGGCTCTGCCCGTTCCTCGGGTCCTGGAGGTGCCTCCCTCTCTGCTCCCACCCTCAGCTGCTCTCCTGCCACGGGATGAACGGGGAAGGGTCTCTGGGTATCACCAATGCCCTATGAAGACTGTGCTCCATGGAGAAGCCAGCAGTGCCGTACAACACCCATACCAGAAATGATCAGCAAATGCCTCCTCAAGTCCCCACTGGCCCCCGTGGTTCGGTCAGCCCCTCTTAGCAGAGGAGGAACCGGAGCAAAGAGATTTGGCACAGCGCTTGCTGGAAACACTGGCTCGTAATTCAGGCTCTTGTTGCAACGAACAGACAAGCATCCGATTTTTCTGTGGTACTAAATACAAATCTTGAATGCTTCTAACACGAAAGTTGGAAATCAAGTAACATAAAGGCCTTATTTGAAAATAATTACAGATATGACTTCAGTGACTTATATAGTACCTTTCTGATGAAACCACATCAAGTCCCAGGTTAATACCCACAACTGCATAGCTTTTCCACAGATTAACGTTTTCTCAGTCATGCTTTTGAAATGAGAGAGGAATCTATGGGCCATGCTGGTTTGCTGTGCCACAAGTAAGGCAGAAGGAGGGTTGGGGAAGGAAGATAAGAGAAGGAGAGAAAAAATACTATGCAACTATATAATTAATGATGATGACACACTTTGAAGGGGCAAGTAAGATGATGGCTTATATCAGAACCTCAGGAACATGAAAGCAATGACAGTGACTGCTTAGCATCCTTTTTCTGCATATATTCCTTTGTATGGAAAGAAGTTAGCATTTCACGTGCCAGCACTTATTTTCATTTAGTGACAACTCAAACAGAAGTGCCTCCACTGCAATGCAGACACACTCAAGCTACTTCCAAACCTCACTAGCTAAGCCAGGACACCTGCCTCAGCGAAGCACCAGAGCCTGGTGTCTTCCACCGTAGCTTTCTCTTCCCAGCAGAGCAGCCTGACGCCACTCAGAGCCACAGAAGGGAAGACAAACGGAGGTAAATCTGTCTGAACCATTGTGAAGGACAAAGCCACAGTTGCCAACAGGAGTGGGTCTGCTTCTCGGGATTAAAGGAGGGGGAAAAAAAAAGAAAAGAGAAGTCCAAATGCCCTGCTGCTACACACTGCGCAAGAGGGCTGAGAAAAGCGAACATGGAGGGTTCTTGGGCAAGAGATCAAGAACTTTGCAAAGAGCCTTAAGTGTTAGAAACTAAACGTGCTGAAAACAGCAAGTTAGAATAACTAAACTTAGTCAGAATTATCTGTTCTGCCAAACAGCTAGGCTGAAATAAGACTTTAAAACAGAATTATTACCTCTATTCTGACACGTGCTGGGAGGGGATGCATGTTTTGATAACCCCCCTATAGTAAAGACAAAGCATATGTTGGAGACTGAACTCAGAGAGATCCAACCTAACAACATACTACTAGGCATTTTCAAAATCCAAAGCAGAAACTCAATGCAACATCAGAACAGTTCTAAAGAGCACCGAGTTTTTCTCACCTCGTATATGGAAACATTTTTTCTGGGGCTCTATATGCCCTATTTGTGACTGGAGACCATCTCTAGATTATTAAGAGAGAATTTTGTCTCAAAGTCTTACCTGTTCTTGTAGTAAATAGTTTCATGGTTGAGTAACCAAGACACAGTAGAAGAAAACCCACATGCAAGGCAACTATATTTATTTTACAACAATTTTTGCAAGTCAGCTTCTATATTGCAGTCCTCACACCACACAGTTTCTAATGCCCACATGAGGTTTTCATACACTAACAGGAGAAAGAAAAACGTTTGAAAAAATAAGGAAGCATGATTATAAAGCCATAGTCTAGCAAGAGAACAAAGAATCAGCGTAACATGAAACTATTTTGAAATACTAAGCTTCATATAAAACTCTTGAAATCTAACCTAAGTGGCTATTATACTTTATTTGGATCCAGTTCCACTATATGTTTGTCCTGCCTCTGTGGTTAGGAAGAGCGCAGTTATAACCAAAATCTCCATGCTTTAACCTGATAACACACATGGGGGCTGAACACTTTTTTCCCCCTGTCTAATTTTGCAAAATATAGCCACGTTACAATTCAAATGAACCACAGCCCTGTTTAAACCCATCTATTTTTGTATTGTAATGCTACCTAGCTCATACTTAGCCAATAGTTGAGGGAAAAATCTCACCAGGAAAAATACTGAGTACAGAAATAACCAGATGGTCAACTGTCGTTGGGAGAAAATTGGTTATTTTTTCCCCTCTGGAAGCAAGACAGTGATTCCTGGATCAGCGGTCTGCTACATTCAAAACGGAGTAGAAGAGCTATCTGATTGACTACTCCTGGCAACCAGTTTCTTCACCTACTGCACTTGGGGAGCAGTGATCAATAAATGATGGCCTAAAAGGAGGTAAGTAGGGCCTTCCCCATCAACTGACACAGGGGATTCAACAAAATCCCCCCAAAATCCCAGTCAACTCTGTGGTTTACAGTAATTTTGAGAGCGAAACAAGAACTGGTAAGGAAACTCCAGCTAACTCACTCCTGGCCAAGGGCTGCAGTAGCTAAACCAGTAGAAGAACATGGTCCGCTATGGTCATGTAAGGGAAGGCGGCACACCAGTGCAAAGCAGCGGTGACAGCTACGGGGATGCACTCAATCTCTTCCCACCAGTGTCCCCACCCCTATCGTGTTCCTCCTCTCTCTGCAAAACTTAATCTCCTTAGTGAATAATGAATGGAAGGGACCATCTGTAATGCAGATTTTTTCATCTGATTAGACAATGCAGGAGACATGCTTTATCTAAAAGGATAATTAGTTCAGTGAAATCCGCTTCAGAGAGCTGCCAGCCTGCATTGTTTCTAAATTTAGAAGCCAAAACAGGTTTTTATTCAGGTTTTTCAAACAGATAAATTTGCTCTACAGAGACTGCAGAAATATGCTCAACGGCATCCGATTCCTGTAACTCTTCCTGTAACTCGAAGAAAACCGGCAGGTCACTGCCCGGGGGAAGCAACAAGAGGTACACTCCAGCGGCTGTGCATTCATCACGTAGCAGAGCAACAGTTTATGAAGGTCAAGCCCCTCTGCCGCGGAGGAGGGCTTCATTCTCGCCCCAGCACTGTGCTGGGAGTCTCTCTGGTAACGCTCTGTTTGACCGGCTACACAAAGCCATAAATTCACACGCAGAATGCCTCATTCCAGCAGCCTCCATGCAAACACTTGGCTCACAAAAACCAGTCATTTCTGCCTGGAAAAGTACACATGGTTATTTTTAGGTTCCTGTTCTTTTTAAAAATAACTGGAGGCATGATTCCAAACCTCCAAAATGTGGCATCATTTCAAAGCCACAGGGGACGTTTGGAGGGCTTTTCAAATACCAAAACATCAAGTTTCCCGCTGAAATAGGGCATTCAAAAATATCTGGGACAAACAGATATCTTGCCATTTCCTCAGCTGCAGTGTACTGTTAAGCAATGGAAGTTTTTAAGTACAGGTGATGTCAGCTATCCCCACAAACCAGCAGCTGGTATCAGGCAACAAGAGACAATGAAACTCCTACACAAACCACCCTGCTTTTGCTCAGGATGGAGATTTCCAGGAAAACAAGCCAGACAGGGCACCCCAAACTCAATCAGAGACAAGCCTGCAAGTTTACAGATGCCAGGCTTCCACTGATTTATGCACAAAAAAAAATCACCTCTAACCCACGGGGCTGAACCACAGAGCATCTTCTGGGGTTTCCTCTGAGCAGACAGCATGTGCGTCAGAGATGTCCATCCAGCCAAAATCCCAGCCTTTAACAACGCTGACCTGTGTTCTCCCGTGCTTATTTTGAATACTTGTAGATGATTTCCACCTACTGCTAAAACAAGCTTTTATGGAACAGAGGAAGGTATTTGGTTATAACAACCCTAAGTAAACAAAAACAAAACAAATCCTTGTCTTCAGCAGGTCCAATGTGCGACTGCAGCTACCGCCAACTTCACTTGCAGAGACCTGCTCTAACCTATGACTGGAAGAAGACCTTCCCCTAGCAGAAGAGTACAACAGGTAGCAGGCACTGAGGACACACTGAAAACTTTCTTCAAGGGTACCCCAGGAAGACCACTTAAGCACTATCTGCTACATGGCAATCTCAGCATTGTGCCCTAGATACCTGGAGATGGCTCTGATTTTGAGGCCACATGAGGACATTTACAGTTAGAAACCATGAAAACCCATCTGCCTCTTAATTGCAATACCGCTTTTTAATTTGATGACTGCAGACGTGCAGAAATTCCCCAAGAAAGACTCGCTAATTACCTAGGCCTGATGACCTTAGAAAAAGTCTCCTGTTTCCTTCAGACAACAGTTTTCTTGAAAAGAATGGCGTAAGGCTAATCTTGGAAACTTCTCAGTTCCATGGGAAGAGAAACAAGAAGATAAAAGGAGTTGAAACAAAGTGAGATGTGTTGGAAGTGGAACATTCTAGTCCAAAAAGCTGAAGCAGCTGATGATGATGAAACAAGCCCTAGAAGTATAATGCATTCCCTCCGAATGCAAAAGAGAAGACTAGCAAAGAATATGATTATCCCTAACTGATCAGGAGTTAGACATCAACAACCATACAACCATAGCACAGGGATGTAGATATTTATAGCAAGTTGAAACACATCAGTTGAATATAAAAACTAAGAAAGATTCTTATCAGAAAGTGTTACTCTTGGGTGGTTTTTTTCCCCCAATTAGAATCATGAGATTGAACAGCTCGTCATTTAAAATGAAACTCAGTTCATTTAACAGGATTATGAGATACAACTACCTACAATAGCTGGAGATCAGGAGACTTACAAGCCAACGTATGATGAGCAACCTTTCTCCCACTCCTCTCATGCCCCAAATGGATCTTCCCACTCTAAAGCTGCAGCAATGACCCACTACTAGCAGCTGTAGCTCTGCAGAAGCCGTAGGCATCCAATGTGCCTCAGGACACTTTTCCACTAGCTACTGGCGAAGTTTAATGTGCAATCATCATCTGAAAGTGACTACACAACGATGTTTTGTTTTACTGAAAAGATCTGCATATATGTGACTGCGTATTTTGTATGGAACCATTTCTCAAAAGAGACTTTTTTCTGATTGTGGATAAAATAGAATGGAAATATACCTGGACAATCAAGGTTTATTTTAAATGTTGTCACTGGACCTTGCTCATCAGAAGTCATGTGTCCAAGCTCAGAACTTCCAGCAGTAACAAGAATATTCCGGTGGGGAAGGCGAGGAAGTGAATCTGATGGTTGCAGAGCTGGTAAGGGCAATCAATTGTTGCCTCACCAAAACACTGCTAGCTAAAAGACAAGACTTAAGACAAGCAGATGATCACTTTTCAGTGAGAAATCAAAAATCCATTTGTATTGGAAACTTATAATTGTACGAGGCTCTTGGCTGTTAAAAAAACCACAACCCTGCAGGCCCAAGTCCAGGATTTATTGCTGCCTTATGTACCACAGTTTTTACTTTTACAGCAAGGCAGCTGTTACGTGCATGAAGTCAAAACCACGATCCACATTATTCAGACAAAGCTGCAGGTGGGATCTGAGAATTCTTCCCACTGAACTTCTGCCAAGCTTCCCTCCTCCAACACTTTATTCTTCTCAAAATATTTATTTTTCATATCACTGTCTAAAACATTAGAGTGGAATTCACAAGTTAAGCTCTGCTGATGACAGACTATTTCAATTTGTGGTTATTTTGTCTCCAACATTTGGAATTTTGGGACCCCACTAAGCATTTTGCAGGGACAAAGTTGCTTTCCAGAAAGATAAAGATACCAGGCTTTTAATTCCACGCCTTCCAGTGTCTTCTAGCTGCATTATGAGACAAGTTTGCTCTCTGTTTAACGATAGTCACCTATAGAAGATGCTGTCTAAGGAGCTACTAAAGAAAATATACTGTTTGGCAAAAAAATGCAATGTAAGCCTAGGATGTCTGATGAAGCAATAAAAACTAAATAAAATCTGCCCTGTGTGTCTACATATAAAAGAACAAAATCTATCTTCAAGCATCACTACGACAAGGTGATAGGAAACCAACTTCCCTTAAGACAAGAAGTGCTGCAAGTGTTCAACTCTTCCCAGAAAAGCAGACTGCATACTCAAGAGAAATTTTACTCTGAACACTTTTCAGAAAACAGTTATAAAAGCCAAAGAACCTAGCAAAAAATAAGTAGCTTTGTTTCAATATAGTACCAGACTCTGTCACTTGGAATGCACAATATGGAAATGCTCGCTGCCTACGGCAATCAATATGCTTTCAATATTTTAGTCCAAGTTCCTATCCTATTCTTTAAATTACACAGCTCATAAGCAGAGTATCTTCAGTAACAATTCCTTTCATGTAATGCCAGCTGGGTGACACAATGGAAAAATGCCATATGGCCACTTCATGAAAAGTAAAGCATTCACAGTGTTTCCACAGCAGGAAAGAGTTAGCAGCCTGATATCAATCCTGCTACAAACTAGTCCCACAGCAGGCCCAACATCCCTCTGAAGAAAATCATGCTATGCAGTAAAGGCATTTCAGGAAGAAAGTGCACAGAGGCAGGTGGCACTATCACCTTCTCCAGCCTGCTTCCCGAAGGGAGAGTTGTAGCATCCTTCGTTACAAGATAAGCCCTCTAAAGAGCACCAGGAATCCCAGCAGACACAGAAAATTGGGAAATAAAGGCTGGCCATCTACGACCTGCCATTTGATCCCACACTGCTGGAACGCCGAAAGCCACGTGGTTCAAACCATTCCAGTAACATAGCAATAATGGCTCTGTACAAAAGGAAAATGAAGTAGCTCCCCAAACCCTTGCTCGCACTTCAACTGCAGTACAACATTGCTAGCTGCAACTTCTGAGCAGGAAAGAGTGACCCAGCTTCTCTGGGCAAGTAGGGAACAACCCTGATATATCCAGCTTCTTCCTCGACCATAGGAAAGTGGTAGGAGAAGCATGAATACATGTATTTTCAAAACTCCCAGTGGGTTCCTACTGTACTATGATTACATACATTTCCTCACTGGAAAGTGATTAACTAGGGAGCAGATTTTCTTAATGACATTTAAGAAGGGGGGGAAAAGGAAAAGGGGAAGGAATGACAAATGACAAGTGTATGATTCTGCACGTGCTTCACATTATCATTACAGAGTGGAAAACACACCCACAATCATTAAGTAACATTCGGAGGAAGGAGAAAGCTATTTCAACATGTGTCCCTACCCCCAAGCAGAGATACCCTGTGATGACCCATTTACTCCTCCTGCTCTAGCTCCACCCTCAGAGCATCTAATTCCAATCCTTTCCAAATCAGATCTAACCACCCACCATCCTTCCTGAGCCCACAACCCATGCCTTACCTCCAACTACAAACCGTCTATCCTGTTAATTGGTCCTGGAGTTTTCTGCTCTAATCTCACAGTGCTGGCATTCATCCAGAACATCAACCCCATGCTCCCAATGTTGAAACCCCTGCCATCCCATCCCCTCCACCACCCGTCCCAGGTGACCACACCTTCACCTGCCCGCAGAACCAAAGCTTTAGCTTCTGTTTCTAGCAGGAGGTTTCAGAAACCCAAGGAGGAGCTGCCATTTTCAGTAGTCTACCCAGCAGAACCCCCACACCAGGGGCGGGGGGGAAGGGATTAAAAGGAGATTTAATACAAACAGAAGACACATGACAGCCCCAGTTAAAATAACAACTTTTTAGAAGAACAAATCTTCCAAGAGCTTCTGAAAAGACCTGAAAGTGCTCCCAATAACACCATACCACATGTCAAGCAAGACAAAGAGAGGGGCCTGGGAGGATGTCTTGGAGAGCACCATCCTCAGAATCAAGATAAAAGCCAGGAAGCAGATATGACTCATACTGCTGCTTGGCTGGTGAAAGGCTGAAGAGGACTTTGCAAATTCTGTACATCAGCATGGATCACAAAGTTTTTCAGCTGAATTTCACTCACTGTGTATTCTGCATGTTTTTTCCCATACCATTTCATCCACTTTCTGAACTCTCTGTCCATCGTCTAGAAGAGGGAAGAAAAACAAAACCACCTATTAGGACATCTTGTGTTACCAGCTACATCACAGTAAAAGGAGATGCAGCTCTGACAGTGTTCATTGACCCCCAAAACTTCTTCTTTGGTTGGTTTGGGGGTTTTTTTGCCATTAACACTCAAAGGATAGGCAGACAGACAACTACTGTAGTTTAATTTCCTTAAAAAAAACCCCTTTGCTTCACCAGGGCCAGGTCAAAGCTGGCATCTTCTCCCCTCCCCCCTTTTCATCAAAGTTACGTTATAAGCAAGGCAATCTGAGTTGACACTGCTCAGCACTAAAAATGGCGCAACCTTAAGTAGCTACTGCGTTGTGGTACATAATCCCACAGCGAGCAGGAGGCACTGACTGTGGCCCAGTCTAAGCCCAGATAGCAAAGGAATAAACAGGATAAAGACAGGTCCGCTAGGGTGAATGAGAAAGCAGAAAGCAGCATGCAAAGCATTGCAACAGCAAACGGAAGGAGCATCGCACTTGCCGGAGCAACCAGGAGGAATGCTTCAAACTACATCCAAACAGACCAGGGCTGCAGACGGATGGAAGGCTGCTACTACCTAATCAGGCAGCTGGCACCGGTTTTCCATTGCCCAAATATAGGAGAAAGGAACCGAAAACCCCAGACATCAAGACAGCTTGGTGCCTTACAAATATGCATCTCCACATTTACAAAATCTTGTCCCCATCTATATAAATTGACAATATGCAGCACAGGTCATTACTTTAGAGTGACAGCGAGGGTCCAGCTAGACCTATACAACACATTTGAAAATGAAATTCAAGTGTCTTGGAAGACTGAAAAAAATCTCCTGATCTTTAGGATTTGACTCCACATATGGGAGGGCCCAAATTTGGAGGTAGCAGGGAAAGGAGATAAGGGAGAGAAGATAGCAGGAATTCTGGCTTCACTGACAACTTAGAGATGGTGGAGACCTCCATCAGCAGGTCAATAAAACAGTGTGTGTTGACAGATGTGTTTTAAAATTCTTTACGTTTCAAAAGCACTCCAAAGCTTAGTAGGATAACTCACAAAAATCTTCAGTGTTTTCATAGGCTGTATGAACTTACATTTTAATTTTTTTTTTTTGAAGACAACTTCACTAAAACATTTCCATAACATTCTTCCTCTTTAGCTCAAGCTTTTCAAAGTCATCTGCATTAATTATCATAGTAACCAGAGATGTGTTGCCACAGCCAATCTTAACTAGAAACTTAATCCAATCCCTTCCACAAATGTTTGTCAGAGATGGGGCAGAAAACCGGTCCATTACACACAGCACAAGGCAGATTAGCTGTACACAGGCAGCTTCACACATTCTGACACTGCAGCAGCCATTTAATTGTTAAATCTGACAGGACATCGTCTGTAACCAGAAGAATAATGCAGTATATTTCGTTCATCAAGTAATCTTATGAAATACTGGTGTACTCCTGAAACTGAAGGTACCCCATGAGTGAATACTCCTAATATTCAATTTGTGGGTAATTTTTTTGTTTGCTAACCATTTTCACTAAAGCCTTGTGCTTGCACAATGACAGGAAGGGGTATTAGTGAAAGTGAGAATTTAACTTTCCCCCTGTAACACTGATCTTTAAGTTTAATAGTAAACAGACGGGAGTCCAGGCCTTGCAAGTGACTCCCTGATGAAACCAGAACACTCACGCAGAAGGACTGCAAAGAGCACTCCAGTTGGAAATTTCCACTGGGTCATGGCAGGGGAAACAAAATGGATTTTTAGATCCTTGTCTGATCCTCTTCACCACTGTGTTTATGCATTTTTGCCCACACCACTGAAAAGGAGGATCAAGGCTATTTTTTTTTCCCCTCCCTTCATAAGGTGTAATTTTCTAGCCTGTACAGACTGAGTCAGCTTGTTTTAACAATACGGAGGGATAAGTTTCTGTTCAGTCTACTGAAGAAAGTAAACTTCTTATGGTAAGGCTTGACTAACCTTTATTGTTTGCCTGTAGCTCATTTGCCTTCCAGGTTTGCCTTGGAACTGATTATCTTTGTGTGTGGCACAGAATTAGAAGAAGTGTAAAGAAAATGGCCTGCCTGACTAAACATTATGGTTTTCTTATAATAAGACTTCATTTAGGTGCCTACTAAGCAGTTATTAACCAGATACCCGACACAGGCCTCATCAATTAGCCTACAACAGTTTAATAACTAAGCTGAACTTCATCTTTAGGACACCAAAAAGGGGCAACACTACCGTAAGCAGAAACATAGCCTTTAAAACGTTTAAGAACTGTTTGTTTGGTGAATTCATTCCTATATCTGCTTAATGCTGTGGTCTCTGGAAGCCCTGTATTAGAGCCATTTCAGACAAAGAATGACTGCAGGTGTTTAGGTGAAGCTTACACTGCACTTCCTTTTGAATAGGTCCTACGCCATTACTGTTAAAACAGCTTTCCATCTCCGGGTCCTGAAATCACTTTCAGAAACATGCTAATGCTCCTTCTGTGCACTCTGCAAGCACTGCTAGCGAACACTAGACATACACTTCTTTCCCCAAGTATGCCGTGCTCCAGGTCTTACTGAGCCGAGAAGCAAAAGCAACTAGGACTGAAACCCTGCTTTTCTTCCTGCACAGCACTTAACAGTAATCCTGAACCACTGAGGTAGCCTTCAAATAAGGCATATACACACAACTCGCTTCCAAAAAAAACTCACCTCAGCATATTTGGCTGGAATATCAGCTTTCTCCACACCATAGTGATGTTTGCAGTTTGTGGCTGCAGCCACTTGAAGCACCACCTGACCCACACCTGCAGGAAAGAAAAAGCAAACCCGAGAATAAGTTTCAGTAGAAAACCACTGCAGGGGGAGATAAGAGCTTTTAGAGCAAAGGCCAACAGGAAAAATGCAGGTAATCTGTGGGACTAGGCTTCAGGGTACAACTTCAACTCCCAGTTGTGTCTGACAGTTCCCATATGAACTCTGCCTATCTCTCAGTTGAAAAGCAGATTCAAGGCAACGTGCATTACGAAAGCAAGTCCCATTTCTCTACAAGATATGAAATACTAAGAACCTGTTTTTCAGTAAAAAGGCTTTACCATCCTAACTAGAAAGTAAGCAGTGCAATTTCACTTTTCTTGCAGAAAAGAATTTCTCGCATTGTAGTTCTGAGGTTTACATTTTTCAATATATTGAGCACTTTTTCGGATAATAGCATAAGACTACAACATTTACAGCAACGTTTGTATTGATAATTATTAATAACTACTTTTATTAAATATTACAGGCTCATTTTTACAAATTCACAGATGCTTCAGAATAGCTGCATTTTAATCTTTTTGTCCACACATTTTATATGCATTCCATCAAATCTACAGGTTTTAATTAAATAGTGCATTACAATGTAAGTAATTGAACATACAGTTAGACAAACCCTGCCACATCCCAAAACAAACGCTTGTTGGTCACATACCTACGCCATTAATTTAAAAGATTGGCTAAAACGTTTGTCATAGTCTAGCAATATTTATACTGGGTTTCACCATGAAATGCAGCACAAAGTCTGAGAACGTGTAAAGCTTATTTATACATGAGCTACTTTAGAAAATATTATAGGGTTCAACACTTAAAATTTCAGAAGCAACCACTACGCTGGCAAGACTAAGTATTACTTAAAAATGCATGAACTTCCCATCACTCCAAATTCTACTTGCGCCAGATGCTACCAGCAGTAATTAGCTGCCATTTCTACACCTTGCCTGAATGCATTCCCTCTCCCCCACCCCAGTTCATGTTAGACAGAAAAAAGAAAAAAATATTCATTAGATTTCTCTCTGTATGAGCGACCCACATTTTGCACACACTAGAGCAACGTCATTCCACGTTTGTTAAAGCAGTCACTTAAGATTTTCTTACAACATCCAATATTCGTCAATAGTACGTCGATGCATCACTTTTTGTCTATGACTAACACAAAAAGCATTCTGGTCTCACCAGTGCACTTAATCATTCTGCAGATGACCACATGGGAAACAAGAGTGAATCTAAGAGGATAGCCCATTTGCACAGAAAACATATTGCTGTTTTCCATTTCATTGGCTGCCGGCAGGAAGCGGCACTGGTAATTGAAGGGGTGGAACTCCTGCATTTAAACCATTACCACTATAATGTTGTCTGGCACAATGAGAACTGTAGTGCTGACAGGGGGTTTTGTTGTTGGGGTTTTTTGGCTGGTTTTTGGGGTTTTTGCCAATTCCCGTTTTGCATACACATGCATATTTTATACACAGGCAAATATGGATGTACAAATTTCTGCGGGGGGAGGACACGGACCAAAGATCTGAGGCAGAACCGTTTCACTGTTTCTTATTTATGAAAAGCAAGGAGGACAAAGACTAAAGGGACGATCAAGAACACGCTGCATTGTCAGATACCACATGATGCGGCGTAAGAAGTTATTAATCTTGTCTTTCTTTGGCTTTTCTTTTTGCAAGAACTTAACTGTATTGTAATCTCAGTTTGCCTAATGATGATGCATACCTCCACAAATTCCTCCTGCAATGAGCCACATATTCCTGGCATCACACACAAAACTAACAAGAACAGAAACAGCATCCTGGCGGGGGTTTATCCCTGCTGTTCAGCCACTGCTGTATGCATGTAGTTATTGGAATGGCATTAAATTTCCTGACAGAAATAATATGCTATGACAGTGTTTTCGTTACACTGCGCTCAATCCTGCGTTGGTTACAATTTACAAAAAGTTCACTCCTTCACTACAAACTCAACAACTATGTTCTGGTTTTAATTGTTTCAGTGCTCCAAACGTTAAAAGTCAAAGGCTTCTGAATTTAAACCATTCCTTTCATACAGGCTTTTTAGACTGTAAATTTTTATACTCTTGGTCAATCTCCAAGATTAAAGCAGGAAGGTTAGCAATAAATGCCTGATTTTATTTCTGATGATAGCAAGTAAAAGTATCTAACATTTGAGCTTGTTACATAATCAGCAGCACTACAGGACTTCAGATATGATCTTCTTTAACCTTCCCAAACAAACAATCGTGAGCATCTATGGCAATTTTTTTCTTCCAGATGGAAAACAGTTTGTCAGATCTGATACCCTTCTAAATGTCACATCTGAACATAAGTCATTCAAACAGGAAATTTCAGACATAAGTCCCACCGAGGCAGGAAGCGCAAGGTAAAAAAAAAAAAAAAAAAAGAAAAAAAATAGGAAAAAATCACTGAAGATCCCTGACTGGAGATGTATTGAGTTTTGGGGGGGAAATGGCAGTCCTGCTGTACTTAAATTTAAAATATATTCAGTTTTTAACAACTGAATGTATTTTAAAATATTTTTCCCCAGAAGTTCTGTATCATACCAGCAACAAAACCAAAACATATTTCCTTTAAAATTTTACAACCCATCCAGTAAAAGGGGAAATTCTTATTACTCTTTTCCTGCTCTGAACCAGATTTTAGCCACAAAAAGAACATCATCTTCTTACTCAGTATATCTCTTCCACATGTGTTTGAGTCATATCTGGTTTCTTTAGCAACTAGAAACATCTATTTCCTTTTAAAACTCTAACCTGTTCATGAGATGCAGTTGTAGGCTGTAAGCTAGATTTTGTGGGGTCTTACAAGGCAGCTGTTAAAACTAACTATAAAGTCTTTTTTGACACACTGAAAAGTGTGTCAGAGGAAAAGAACTGCTTAATTTTCAGATTCCACACCAAGTGTTTCACGCTGGCATGGGAAGGGTCAAGCAATCACATTTTCAGATATGAAGGGCATAAACTGAATCCACTGAAAACAGATGAATCCTTAGAAATGGAACTGCTATTGTTATCTTTCAAGCATAATTTTTAATATTGTTTCTTCTTTGTAAGTGTATCCGCCAATAGCAACAGAAACCAAGAGTTTCCTGTAACAAGGGTTTATTGCATTTGTAGGCCGACATTTCACTAACACCACAGGGAAGAATGTCTGGGATGTCTGTTTGGTCTATTTAATCTTGCCATAAAAAGCAGAAGCATCATTGGGGATTATCTAGAAAAGGTGCTTATCCTGTAACACAATCCTTAGTCCTGGTTTACTTCCCAAATATAAACGTCACTTTTTTTTTTTCTTTAAAGATAGTCCTGGTACTTCCCAAATATAAACGTCACTTTTTTTTTTTCTTTAAAGAAAGGAAAAAACAACGAGCAAAAAGAGAAAAACCCACTTAAGTTACTGGTCACTTACCACTGCCCAAGTCAAGTCACAAATCATCACAACGAGCAAAAAGAGAAAAAGAAAACCCACTTAAGTTACTGGTCACTTACCACTGCCCAAGTCAACAAACAAATCATCCTCTGTCATTTTAATTTCATCTATCATTTGGGCCACTAAGTCAAAGGAAGTTTCTCCATAAACCTCTGGGGAAAAGGGCTCATAGTTGTTAAGTTTCTCTGGATCAGTCACCGAGTGGTTATACACTTGCTGCAGGATGTGCCGGAGGAGCCCGTTGGAGGGACGAGTGTTCAGTTTCATCGGTTGGGTGGTTCCCTTCCACTAAAGGTAAAGAGCAGGAAGAAGATATGAACCCAACGTGAGGACAAGTAAACGTCACCAAAACAAGGCTGCATTGGCATAACATAGAAATGAGAGAAATTCCCCTCCCATCCCCTCTCTCACAAGCTGGTCTGCAGGTGCTCTGCAAAGATAAAAACAGTGAACGATACTAAAGAAATCACGCAACACCGATTGCTCTATACTTCATCTCACCTCAACTAATAGGTAATTTCAAATATGCCTGCTGGAAATAGGTGGTAAAGGGGAAATTAAAGAGATGTAAAAATCAATAGGCAATGTAAAGCTTAATACTGAATATAGTTGGAGTAGGTGTAAAAGTTTGTTCACTCATTTTTTATTTACTGATCACCACTGAACTGATGTTGACTGTACTGTCAACATAAGAGCAGTCTCATTTTCTTTCAGGAACTGTAGGATGGGAGGGATCATATGTACTCAAACAGGGAGCGGCAGGAGAGAGATGGAAATCAAGCTGCCTTTCTTCTTCAGAAAAAAAACCTGTCCTAAACATAAAAGTTGTTACGTTTTAAAAATGTTTACCTCTCCCTTTGATAAGGAAAGACAAACAAAAAAAGGACAACTCCAGGATCCCTCCTAAACATTCCTCTGTTTCAGATTCAGATGGCAAGAAGAAAATGAAACCAATCAGGTTTGCCATTTCAGACAGCAACTGCAAATACTGAATAGCTTCAAATTTTTAGCTATTAACTGACATACATATGAAGACACCTGAATTCAAACAAGCACAAGTTTTAGGGTGTTGTAGGCCCACAAAGTGAAGGAAAGCCTGGCAGAAAAGTCTTGTTGCCGTAATACTGCACACTTCAAATAATTCCCACAAGCACAGCAGAGAAAAAAAATCCACCTATACTTTCAAAATTAAACAGAATAGTAACATTAATTCATTGTTCATGTTTTACTTCCTCCAATTCAACCTTTTATAGGGGTAAGAAAACCAAAAAGCTTGTTAAATTGGTCTGAAGAGAGATTACATTCTAGTTTTGCCAGAGTGATCCAGCAGAACAGAGCAGCTGAACTAAGTGGCAAGCAAGGAAATTCCTAAGCCATGGATCATTTGCACAATACACAGGAGAGTTCATATGGATTATTTAAGTACCCATAAGCCACAGATTTCCCCATGCAAAAGTAAATCTATATGATAAATCCCCGTGAAACATCTACACACTAAATGCAGAGAAACTTTTTCTTCCCCCTAAAGGTAACTCAGCTATTTCAAAGTGCCAAAACAAGGGCGCCAGAAGTGCACACTAAAGAGTAATAGCTTACAAATCTGCAGTTTGGGCGGAAAAAAGTGGGTTTTTTTTCTTTTCTTCCTATAAGAATGTCCCTCCAATACTAACTCCTTGACTGCCCAGGTGTGATCAAGGAAATAAGGTTTAATATCGGACTAAGTCACTCCCCAAAAGAATGGAAGTGCTGAATACTGGTGATGCACCTGGACTAACACATATAATCCAGCGCTAAGTCAGTCACCGCTTTCCTGGGTATTATTCACTGTATGTGAATTCAAACCAGCTAGATAAACATCATGGCGCGTAACAAAGGTAAATACATACCAACTGATGAATGCTATCAATGGCTCGGTTGTACTTGTCACAAAGCCTCTGCATGCTTTCAAAGCTACGTGGGGAGAAAGAACGCAGGGTCAGTTAAAAACAGAGAGCTCTAAAAAGCAGGTTTGCAGGTACAACCTTGCGCTTTTTTGTCATCATACATACTGTAAGTAGGTGGCTATTTAGGGTTTGTTTCTTGCAGAACACGTAATTACACACACAGCTTTAGGACTTTGTATACAGTTTCCTTTAAAAAAATTCCCCAGTAGACCAGGAGTACATCACAAATAATAGTAGCTTCTTTAATTAATGGAAAAAGGACTGAACTCAAAGTATGACTTACTAGAAAGTTTTGTATTCTCATAGCCCATTACTTCTTTTCCATATTCTCAGCTGCACAGAAATTTACAGAAATCTGTAAATTTTTCTCCTTTGTTCCATCATCTCTCCATGATAATCAGTCCTGAGACAAGTAGATACTTTTCTAGAAATTAACTCTGGGACTGAAAATGCAGACAGACCCAGGACACAATCTAAAATTTCACCCATCAGAAAAGCATACTGATTGCTTCATGGGTTGGTTGGGATTACAGTCAATTCAGGCAGATGCCTTAATGACAGAAGCTGAGAGGATTAAATAAATTCATCTCAGGCCAGGGAAGAAAAGATATTACTAGGAACATCATCCGCTATGTAATCAGACCCACAAAGCAGCAGCAAAAAAAAAACAATCCAAGGGGTTACAGGAGTAAGATAATTAAATCATGGCCACCCCCAAATCAGGAAGGGGGCGGGGGGACCAGGGGACATCAGAGGAAGTGGCTCTTCAGTCTCTTGTGATCCTCATTACCACTACGCTGGCTAGGACACCTCTCCGAGGAGTACTGCTGACTTCCACTTCGAGCTTTCAACTGCCCATGTTTATTTCCACATTAAGACAAAGCAAGAGGCTGAAATGGGTTTTTGTCTGCACAACACGTGCATTTCTATAATCCACTGCTTTTCATTCACATCCATGTGTCATTATCTGCTACAAGTAATTTTTCTGACAGATTTTTTCAAAGGAATTAAAAAGACTAAAATCATTACCAAAATTACAGGTTTATGACTTCCTTGAAAAGCTGCAGAAAGGTAAGTGGGGTGTGACTTTTGGGAACAGATGGGTTTCTCTTTTATTCGGTATTGCTGCCGACCACACTGATGCCACCCAGTTAAACGTGCCCAGTGAGGATGCCAGAACTACAAAAGTTACAGCATTGCAGTCACTGCGAGTAATTCACAAATCCAAATTAATGAATTTGATGACAAGGAATGCTCGACCCCGATTTCTCCTTTTGAATTTTTCAGGAGGAAGAGAGGGACCAACAAGTCTTGCAATGAAACAATTACAATGAAATTAAGAGAGGAGGAAGCAATACCTTAAAGCAGATCACGATGCAAGTATCTGGTGCTCAGGACAATAGCCAGTGATTAGAGCAATGCAGTTCCATCTGTAAACCTCATTCTAAAAGTTTAGTCATGCTGTGGACTTGAACAAATTCAGTCTTTGCCATGAAAGCAGCTAAGGAGGTTTCTGTAAACTGCACTTGAGGGTCATCTCTTTTTCCAGTCTCAGTACAGCCAAGTCAACACACAGAACCTCAGACCTCTCCACAGATATACCACAGGTCAGAATCTGCCTCTCCCAGCCTCAAGATGAATGCCACATACTATACATTCATTTTAAGCTGTTTGTGGAATAGGTATTCACATGTAACTACAAGCATCTTAAAATTACTTCTAACTGCCCAGAAGAGCGGTATGAGTATTTTACCTTTTAATTTAGCCCCCCACCCAAACAGCATCCCGCTTGCACTGAATCCTACCCAGAGAAGGGATGGGGAAGGTTAACCTCCCACAGTCACAGCAGGCAGAGGACATGGCGCTGACAGACAGCTCTGGCATGCCACTTTCTAAACAGGAATTCTTAGTTACTACAAAAGTAGAAACCTCAGTGCCATTCAGATTCCTAACACTGGACGCAGTCCAACAGCGCAAATACCGATCATTGTTTCGGAGTGAGTAATTCCAATGTACACCAGAGCTCAACTTTCTGCTGTGTGGAGTTTCCAATTATGTCCTTAATCCAACAGCCTTTGCCAATATTTCTGTTACACATTTCCTACCAAAATAACACTGCAGAGTCTGAAGCCAGTTCTAAAAGAAAACTTCAGTTCATAGTGTCTAAGAATAACCAGTTACAAACTGATTCACTATAAACCATACTGGCCTGTCCTCCTGGTGGGAAAAAAAAAATATTCCTCTCACCTTTTTGTATCATAGTCAATTAAAACATAGTTTTCCATAGCAAGCTTGAGATCTGGGATTTCTTCACAGACCCACCTGGAAAGAGAGAAGAAGTAACGAATAAAAACCATTCCAATTAAGTATAAGGCAGTCTGTCTCAATTCTAGACTGGCATTGCGGTATGTTAAGACAGAATACTGCAGCAGACCTGAAAGACCACAATATTGTTAGGAGTAAGGCAGACATCGCAAAATGCTAATTGGAAAGCTGCAATAGTTCGCGTTTGTATTGAATAAACAGTAAGGTGCCCATAGACATTGGCAGTAAAGTCTCTTGAAATGGCACAACTTCAAAATGAGGTGATAAATGTATTCAACGCATCTAAAAATACTCAAAGCCAGGGCTGATGCTAATCTAACATAAAATGTAATGCAGAAGTGCAATATTTCGAAAGAACGCTGATACTGTAACAAGCTTTGACAAAGCTGAATGTGAAGAAGACATTTCCTACAGCAGCCCAAAACAATGCCACCAACCATTCATTGCAAGGATATTCTCCTCTGTGTAGTGCTCTAAACTGCTCTTACACCTTACATGACCCAACCCAAAACAGATTTTCAAAAGTTATTTTGATAAAAGATCCCTTTTACATGCTGAGTTAACAAAGCCCCATATGTTGTTGCCATTAGAAATGGAAAGCGCACACCCACTTGCAATGCATCTGACAATGGCATCTCACAGAAGAGATCTCCACTCTTGGAACGTAGGAAGATTAATTCCTTTCAAAGACAACTTAAACGCCACGTAAGCTTTGCACACACTTTCCTCCAAAAGCATCAAAATGGGAAAGCGCTATCATCAAAAAAACTCAGAGCATGTCATAGGATGAATTCCAATAGGAACAGCAGAGTTTCTTCTTCATGCACCTTGATGCATGCTTCACTATTAAAATGGTGAAGAAAAAAAAAAAACCCACGACTAGAGCTCCAACAGTTCTGGTTCCTTCTGGCTGATTCACCCTTATCAAATAAATATATAGGCAAGTAAAAAACAGAACTTCTGTATCTATGGCTGACTCTCTTCTGACTAATATCTCCCACCTCCCTAAAAACGTCAGGACTCTGATCTCTGCAAGTTTTTTTTTTCTCTTAGAACAGGGAAATGGACAGTCAACAGTTGTTGACCACTGGCTTGAAGAGATAAATACTTCTTTGCATTCTTTTATCCACCACTTTCATAACTGCATTGCGGTTACTTTGCAGAAGGCAGGCAAAGGCAGCACGAAAGCCTTCTAACACACTGTATTCACTGCAATCGTGCTTAAAACACAGTTGTGAAACATTACTTTGGCCCAACTGCTTTCTAACACAGTTTTCCCCTTGCCTTCAGCTAGTGTAGCACACAAAGCACTACCACCGATGACTCTGGCAATCACTTTCAGCACCACGTCTGTTTAAATCCCTTCAGAAAGGTTCTTCTCAGTAATCATACTGACAAATGATGCCACAAGTTCCCAAGGCACAGAACCTTATCAACATCAGTACAAGTAAACTGGAAGTAGCAGTGGCAGTGCATCTCGTGTCAAGGTTTTGTAGTTAGAAAAAGAAATTTCTTTAGAAGAAAAACTCTCAGCTGTAGCCCCTAGCCCCATTACACATTCTCTCCCACCACAGACCATGGGAAAATGCTATGATTTCATGTATATAAGTGACATGATCAACTCTACCATGCAAGCACTTAGCTCTCACTCTCACGCTGGGAGCAAACAAGGCTCACTACCTTTTCCTAGGCCATATGCAACTGACCAAATTTCAAGCTCAGGTGGCTATGCAAATAAAACACCGTTCTTTGTACTTCACTTGTATCTGCACCATCCAACCATTAAAACCTGCTGCAGATACAGCCCTCAGACGAGGGAAGCCTGTATGGTAAGGATCTAAAACAGTTAACAAGAGCAGCTTTTAAACAATCGAATGTGGATAACACATCAACATCCCTCAGGTGTTTGGGGAATTGGTGTTAGCATTTAATAAAAGTTGTTCTACAGCAAGTCACCTCCTAATCCTGCTGAAATAACAGCAAGCCATGTCATAACCACTGCCCGTGTTGGGAAATGCTCAGACTTCCTACTCTTCATATTTGTCTTTCACCTTTATCCTCCCATTTTCCCCACATTGATCCAACTTTATCAGCAGAATTAAGAGGAATGCTAATAGGGACATCATTCCCAAATAATGCAAATGCTAACAATGCTGCAACATCACAGCAACAAGGGGAAAGGGAGAGGGTGGGGAAGAGGATATGCAAGACCAGAACTTAACACATCATGCCAATGATGTTTCCTTAACCTTGCTTTTCTAAATATCAAGTACAGACTGCCATAAGCACCAAAGTTGAGTATCACTACTCATTTTTAATTCTGTTCAAAAGAGAATAGAATATGGCAAGTTAAAACAAAGTCTCTTTGACAGGGAGATTTGTATTGCAACAATATCAGTTCAGCTTAGAAAATAATTTAGAGCTGCTAAATTATAACTGCTGCCCTCCTTTATATCTTGTCTCAAGACACCCGTTCACTGAGATGCAGTAAGACACTGGAAAGGGTTCTAGCCACGTCTGCATTGAACACTTACCGAATTGTCTCAATAATTTCGTGAGCAGCATCATGGTGTTTGTCCTGAAATAAAAAGAAAAGAAGAGATGTTTTCAAAGAGACATCAGATGTGCTGTTTGTCAGAAGATTACAGGAATCACAATCTTTTTAAGAGTATAGGTGGCAAGCATGCTAGGAAAGGAGTCTTTGATTGCCACCCAGGCCGTTAAACCCATCAAAATGAGCCCTCTAAGAAAAAATAAGGCTTAAGGAAATACATTTTTCAAGTTTCTATGGACTAGCAGAAGATTTACATGAAGGAACTGTCATTCTACTCATTTCTTTGTCATTTCCTGAAATCAGGAATTGTGTAGCTGATACCCTTGAGGATTATTGGTATGCAGTAAGTACTTGACTGCAAGTTCCACAATGAACAGCTGATTACATCGACCTAGCAGCTGGTACATGCTCACATCTCCATATGGGCAGTAAGATTCTAGCACAGTGAATGGCTTTCTAAAATAAAGCATCAAATAAACAGTAGGAGTGGATATCAGCGTAGAAAAAAAAAAAACACACCTCACAGCACATTAAAAAAAACAAAAGAGGCCTGAATATGCAGACCTTTTCATGAACTGAAAAACAAAACACATATGCACAAAACACATTAAAACTTGTGCATTATAAGTATACACTAGACTAAGGCACAGATGTTTGTTGACTTTAATTTGGGAGTTTAGTCAGGAGCAACAAAAGCACAAGTGAGTTTAGCAAGCCATTCCAAATTTCTGCTAATAAAGCCCTTGGAGCTGCATGGATACGCACCATGCTACAAAAAATTCTATTTTAGGGAAGTTACAGGAGGTCCTATATATATTGTTGTATCCATCTTGTGAAGCCTTAGTTACCAGAGTCCATCTGCACAAAGTTGAGGTTATATTTAGACATTTGTTTTTTTAAGTGGCTTTGACCTTTTAATTAGGTGTCTAGTATCTAGGGACCTTCCAGAGTTAGAAGTGTAAAGGCTCACTCACTCTCAAATAATTTCCCTTGTCTTCTGCTGCAGAAATGTCACTTCTATAGAGTTACCAGGGGGAAATTCTATAGCAAAGGGTAGGGACAGGCAACAGAAAGCAGAGGACTGGGGGCAGGGGAAGGGAGGGAATGGAAGAAGAGAAACACTAATGGACAGATGACAGAAAACGTCTGGGATTATTTCTATTTCTTCAGGACATGGAAGGACGTGATATAAGTCAAACGGAAGCTTTTTCCATCAGTATCACAGCTTTCATATTTGCATGAGGAAACAGATTTCCCCTGTATAACCAGTTTATATACTTAGGATCAGCCAGTCTTGTAGAAGTTCTCATTGCAAGAAACAGCCCTTTAGATACCCGGATAAACGTCTCATGACTAAGAGGGACAGAAAGAAAGGCAAACATTCCTGAAGCCTGTTATATTAAAGGTATGAAGGAACACTTCCTATTTTACTAGGAAAAGCTTTTATTTTCAGAATGCAAAAAGTTTACCCCATATCTAGGTGTCACACGAGAGGCTAATCAAAGAAAAACAAAACATTCCAGTTACAATATCAAAAAGGAGAAACAGCCAACATAAAAGTAATCACAACATTTGGGATCGAACAGACAGTGGCCTAGAAGCTGAACGTTACCTTGGTCATGTTTCATAACAACATGCCGATGCTACGCAAACGCCCTGAACATCGCAAGCCATGCAGAACAGATCTGGGGTCGTGCTTCCTCCAGTCTACGGCATTCGCTCAGGGCCTGGACTGGGACAGCCCAAATCCAACAGAAACCAACAGCACCAATAAACAGTCACCCAGCTTAAATTCAGAAATGTCAGGTAAGTAATTCTATTGATAAATCTTGGCCTAGAAAACAGGGAAGCAACTGAACTAAAATCTGCTCCTGACTCTCAGTGCACATATAAAAGAAGAAAAAGCATACAGGAGGAAGACTTCTCTTTCTTTTCATTTCTTATCTGCAAAGTATAAAAATAACCCAAGACAGTCGGCTCATCCATAAACATCCCCTATAAATTTTCACCTTTTGCTACACGCAGAATTATCACAGTAGAAAGCCCTTGGGCTGATCTAGCTCTTCCAGTAAACTGTGTTCCTGTATAGTAAGAATATGCTTTATCAACATAAGCACATTATACCGGAAAAGTGAATTCATGTTTATTCTGGCATAACGATTTTCTCTGAAGAAGTTACATTCTTTATTGATGGTTTTGGACAGTTTCAGTGCTAGCAGATTACACAGAGAAACCCCTTGTCCTATAGGTCTTCATGAAAATGCCTCTATAAATGACCAAAATGGCTCAATTAACAGATTCCTTTGTCTTGGGTTAAAAAGTAAAAAAAAAATTAAAAAAAAAAAAATCACAATGCACATCTACAACTACAGATCGTCCAATTTAAGCAAGTGGTTTTACTAACACAACCTCAAGTGGAAACTCCAGCCAGAAGGGACCTTTCTGAGTTTAGTTTGTGTCATTATCTAGGAATAACGAAGTTGAAAACAGTTCCACATTTACTGCTGCTAAACTTCTCATCTTGAAACACTTACCAAGTTTACTATACTCTATAACTAACACACTTTGTCCGAGTAGACAAGCTCCCAAGATGTCATGCAAGTCTTGCAAATGAAATCAGAGATGATCTCCTAACATTTCTTCAAAGCGGAGAAGGCCATGGAAAATGGAGGAGGGAAGGCGGGAAAACAGATCTAAAAGAAATACAGAGCTGTTTCCCTTTCTTTAGAGAAAGTTTTAGTCCCACTTCAACATTACGGTTGTAAGATTTAATAAGAATAGACATTAAACAGCACCAGTCATCACATCTGTATTCATGCAATTGTTTATGACACTGATAGAGAGTCTTCAGCAACTCAAAAGGCAAGTTGAATAAAAACCTCACCCAAACCACAGACTCCACTCCAACCAGCATCAGCCTCTGCCCATCATCCTTTCAAGCAGATGCACTGGTTTTGGCCAGACATGCAACTGAGCTCAGTGCAGCAGCTTTAACACGGATCCTTTTACGGACCCAGTGGATGAACACTGAAACCAGCAGTTTGGCAGGGACTGACGGCAATTCCCGATGGCTCTGCTGCAACCACAGCAGTCTGACAAACCTTACACCCGGCTCAGCCAACAGTCAACCCAGCACATTTAAAGATCACAGAATCATAGAATAGTTTGGGTTGGAAGGGACCTCTAAAGGCCATCTAGTCCAACCCCCCTGCCGTGGGCAGGGACACCTTCAACTAGAGCAGGTTGCTCAGAGCCCCGTCCAACCTGACCTGGAATGTTTCCAGGGATGGGGC